GCTCAGTGTGAAAACTGTTAGCCAAAAAAAATCACAAGTAAGTTTGTGTGAACAGAAATATATGTTTATGACTGATGTGAGTGGTCATGGACAGAATTTCCAGGTACTGTCATGGGGTGGGGGGTATCAAGTGTGGTGGCAGCTGCTTTTTGTGGATGACGTCCTGCCTTAAGCGGGGGAGTGAAGTATCTCAGGATCTTGTTCACAAGTGAAGAAAGAAAGGACTGGAAGACCAACAGGCAGATTGGGACAGTGTCTGCATTGATGTGGACGCTAAACTAGTCAGTTGTGGTGAAGAGAGAGCAAAGACAGAAAGCAAAGCCCTCAATTTACCGAGTGATCTACGTCCCATTCCTCAACAGCTGTTGGTAATGACTAAAATAACAAGATTGCAAATACAAGCGGTCGAAATGGATTTTCTCTGCCAGACTCAGCTCAGACATTCAGGAAAGACTCAGGGCAGAGCCGCTGCTCCTCCACGTTAAGAGGAGCCACCTGAGGTGGTTTGGGCATTTGGTGAGAGAGAGGATTGTTTCATGCATGTCCCCCCCACCCCTCCCCCAGTGGCATGAGTAAAGAAACAATCCATAAGAAAGCAACAAGGCATGTTTTAGAGGCAGGAACCACCTCAACATTCTCCTTTTTGTGTAGAGGAACAGCAGCTCCATTCTGAGCTCAATAACCTCACCTCATCACCGAGGAAGAGTCAAGAGGTAGATAATTTCAGCGGTTTGATCCAGGATCTAGTTCTTTCAGTTACATACAAAATAATTTGACTTTAAATGAAGATTAGAACGTAAATGTGCCACTAAATTAAGAGTTTGCCTTTTAGATGGACACCTACTGCACCAGACCAGAGCAACACATTTATTTCTTCAAACGAATTCAGATCCAACAGTCCCCTCTCTCACTCTATTCAACCATCACTCTCCAACAAGATATTTAAACAGATTCACAACAGACCCAGAGGAAGCATTCCATCTTTTTCCAGTTGAGAACCATGTCCTCCAACTTGGTTTATGTTCAGCTTTGAACCGCCCCTATGCATGATGAGGGTCATGGCACGAAGCCTTCAATAGCAACACATCATCTGCAAAGAAGCAGATATGCGATCTAGAAATTAGCAAATCAGACACCTTTTCTCTTTAAAACTGGTTGTACAGAGACCAGTTCTGCAACAGATAAATACATATATCATTCATCACCAGAATTATGTGAATAGGTAAAGCTTTCAATGCAGAAACGTTTTTCCACCGTTCTCAACCACTTTCCTAATGTTACTTTCTCTTCTTCGGTTCCTGGTCAAGTTCCCTCATTAATGTGTTCAGAATCTTCACCGAGACCAACAAAGTAGCAAGAAGCAAAACAACCTGTTGAAAGTGTCTTCTTTTTGTACTGGCAGATTTATACCTTCCAGTACGGTAGATAAATCAAGACTGCAAATTCCAAAAATGTCTTTTAGTGAGTTTATTTAGAAAGGTACCTAATAAAAGCAGCGTCTGCAGCCCCACCAGAGCCTGACAATGAGGATAAACTCGTGAAATGATAAAAACAATGTATCTTTATGCTTGAACTTACTTGCTGCTGCCAAAAAAATTCAACAGAATCACATTATAAGTGAGCTGATAACCTTGACCTATTTTTTCCAACTGACTTTGAGGCCTGATTCGCTGCAGACACTTTGACTTGCAAGCATAGTGAAGCACAGGTGTACTAACGAGAGCAGCATTCTAATTCTACAGTTGTGCATAAATCAGCTAATGAGAAGAACTTCTAAATGGAATGAAGCCCTTTCTAAAACACTTATGACTTAAGACAAAAAGTCTGCCATACCAGATCAGACAAATAACATTGTACCTGATTAATTCATCCCTAAATCACAGATCTTGAACATCTTACATTTATAATATAACAAATTATGTTAAATATGAAGTCATGAGTGCTAATTCATTCATTAAGATACAGACGTTTATTAAAGGAGAAAAGATAATTAGATAAGTGTTGTTCTAATCTGGTCTCCATTGCAATTTGTTTGTTTTTCTCGCAAATTGACAAAAACAACATGCACACCCCTATTTTCCCGAGTTTACTTCATGTTTCCATTTTTTTTTTAAATAAAGTGTCATGGTGTGTAGATGTGTTTGCCTGCCTGCTGTGGCCTTTTGTGTTCTTGTTGCTGTTTGTTCAGCCTCCAACTAGCGTGCATTAACATAAAGCTAAAATTAGAGCAAAACTCTCAAGTCAACTGCCTGTCAATATATTATCTTTGATCGAAAGACCCCATGGAAGCTGGTTTATTTAGCTTCTAATGGAATGTGTCTCTACAAACAAGACAAAAGATTTTAGAAGCTTGACTTTATCTGCAGTCTGTTTGAGGTCCAAAGAGACTATGAGTGAGAGATTGGTGTCAAATATCAAAACTTTGTCTGATGGAAACAGCACTCTGTGAATATACGCACAAACAAACACACTGACAACCGGAAAAAAGAGCTCTTCCTCTGCGCTTCTTTGTTTATCTATAGAAGAGAAATTGTGTAACATCTTCTTCCCTTCCATTTTTTTCTGCTACTTCCTTTTAACTCGGGTTTCTGAAAAGAAACAAATCAAACGGTTTATGTGACTTTGCTTTCTCAGGTTATTGTTTACAGCACAAGGTTAATGGGTGACCTTCAGGGAAACTGTTACAACAGCATGCTTGCATAATTACACAGAAGGAGAGGTAAAAACCACAGAAATGGGAAATTATCAGATATGATGGCAATACAATATGATGCATAACAGCTAATCCACAGTAGGAGACAACCAGTTTATTTCTGATTTAGGTGAAAAACACATCAGGAATAAGTAATGGCACTAAGGAGATCAAAGCACAGTTCTTTTTTTAATATTAGATTTATGTTGTATCTAATTCTTAAAGCCTGCTTCACTTTTCATCCATGCAACTCTGAAAAACAAAGTAAACTTTAATCTCTCCCAGTCTTTCTGTGAATATCAACTAGTCATTTGTTGACCCCTGGCTCTGTGTGTGTGTGTGTGTGTGTGTGTGTGTGTGTGTGTGTGTGTGTGTGTGCGTGCGTGCGTGCGTGCGTGCGTGCGTGCGTGCGTGCGTGCGTGTGCTCCCTCAGCATTTATCACTCATTACTTACATGCAGTTTTCAGGTCTGTAATTAAGTTCAGCTTTGAAGGCCCCCAGTATCACCTGCTCATTTCCTGCACACATGTGCGTCCACACATACCGCAGGTCCTCCGTGTTCTCGCAATGAGACAGTCACGCAAATAATTGCACACTCTCACACAGACTCTTCAACACTCTGTCATGCATGTGTTTTGGTGAAAACAGGAAAAATACACCCCTCGCCATTGAGACTAGACTTGGCGCACATGTAGTGTGTGTGTGTGTGCTGTGTTCTATAACTGGTTTTGTGACTACAACACCACACCACACAACATAACATAACATAGCAACACACACACACACACACACACACACACACACACACAGAGAGAGAGAGAGAGAGAGATTAGATAAATCAATAAAAAATTCTGACACTCGGGTTGATGAGTGTCTGCTACAGACAAAGCAGGTGTAGCTATAACGTTAACTCAATATCTCTAATATATGATTCTAGTTTGGCCTGCAGCCTCTGTCTTAATCCAATCTGCTCGCTCACGCACACACACTATTTGCCACAAGCACAGAAAAAAATTGGGCTTGAGTGAAGCTATAAGCGATGTAATATCTTCATTGATTCCTCCTGTTATTCTTCTTGTGTGGAAAAGTGCACGTTTGTTTAGATTTTGAGAGCAAGAATCTTTGAGTGCATGAATGCATCTTTACTAGTGAGTCTATATTTCTCAATCTCAATGGGACTTTTTTTCCTGGGTAAATAAAGGTTAAATAAAAATAAATTTGTAGATTTGTAGAAACAATCAGGAAACAAACATGTAAAACCCCACTCTTGGCATGTCCGTAAATGACTATATTATGAAGCTTCATCCAGATATACTGGGATGGACATGGTTAACTGTGGGTGTTTAAACAAGGCTCAAGTAGTACTAAGGGGTCTAAAATGGGACAAGAACACCCACCATTGCACCACCACCACCATGCTGAAGCATTAATGCAAGACAGGATGATTGCATGCTTTCATGTTGTTTGAATCCATATTTGAGCGGACCAGACTGAAATAGAGACCAATCAAGGTTTTTCCAGTCACTACTGGTCTTGTTCTGGTGATGTGTCAATTGTAGCATCAGTTTCCTGTTCAGAAGTCACACTTGGTGTGGTCTGCTGCTGGAGTCCATCTACTTCAAGGTTGAACATGTTCAGATCCTCAGATCTTGGCTGTAATAAGGGATTAATTGGCTGCTACTGCTTTTCTATCATCTCAGACTGGTTTGTCCATCCTCCTCTGACTTTTGACCTCTGCAAGACTTTAATGACCACAAAACAACCACTTACTAATGATTTTAATCCCAATAGATCAGCATTTCCTAAAATATCCAGACAATCATGTCTGGAACCAAAAACCCGTGTGATGCTCAGGTTGAACTTCACCACGTCTAGATGCCTGAATGTGTTAAATTACTGCCATCAGATTGAAAATTCGTTATTTGCGTTATAGCGCCTTAAGTACTTGTAAGTAGGCCTACATTACAAGCCATCAGTCTGTCATTACAGTACAGAGACGGACGGCTCACAGGAAGGTTTTACAACTAATACAACCGTTAAGTAATTCTTATGCGTTAAGTGTTATAGCTGATGGTTGGACGGTTCTACGACTGTTTTGCGTTAAAAGACAGATTAGTGACTCTTATTTGTTGTTCTTCTAACAAAGAACCAGCCTGCCATCTACTGGCTAAATAACGAACTTATCTAAATTGTTGGCAATGTATGTTTCAACCAAACAACACGTAAAAGCGTGTACGCGGCTTATGTCTGTGAAATTACAGGAAATTTTAACCACTTCGAGTTGGATGCCATCATGGCTCCATCTTACCGTGAGAAGCAGTGGTGACAGACCTCCTTGGAGTGTTTGTTGGACACGCAGCACGCCAGCGGACGGTCGGAGTAAACCAGCTGGCCTCTGCTGATCCTGGCTGTGGCCCGGAGTCCGTTACCTTTCCCTGGACTGACAAAACGCTCCACAATCGGTGCCATTCTGACTATTTTCTCCACGTGAACCCAGCGGCTTGTTTACATCCGCATTGAGCGGCGCGTCATCATGTCGCAAGCACGTAAAACGCGCCTATTGAAGCTGTTGTTTTTAATTTCGATTAAATCAATCATAATAAAGCTACCCGATTGTAAAAAGGGCCAGAAACTTTTACTTAAAAAAATGGATAAAGAGGGGTATAAATAAAAAATAAATGATTTTTCATGCTCGTTTCATCCTTTTGAAAATCTTAGCTGTGGCTACAGCACCCCCTAGCGGTGGCTGGGATATAGCAGCTTTAACATCAATCTAGTTTATAAAAAATATATACATATTCCATGAAAGAAATTTCCAAGAAGACACTAATAACTGCTGTTGTTGATTTTTAGCTCTTACATTTGTTTCAAATCTATTTTTGGTGTTATTTTCTTTTTTATACATTCTTCCCATAAGACATTTTAAATTTATTTAAAATTTTGAATGAGGAAATGCTTTCTTCAATATAGAAAATGTGTGTCATATTAAAATATAATAATAATAATACCAGTAATAATAATACAATAAATAAATTATACTTGATATTTTTGTTTCTGATTTCTTACTAATACAACTACCATTTATGTACACAAAATAATTTTTGGCTTAACTTTTTGACATTTGAGATCTCAGCTTCATACCGATTATTTAATAGTTCACAGAGGATTTTTTAATAACCAGGGCTACACATATCTCCCAACAACCTTATAGAAATAACAGGAGTTAATAAAATCACACTGATAGAATAATGATCGACTCAAATAAGCATGACCATTAATTTATTTCTTTATCATATATTTTTTTGAAAAGCAATTAATAAAAAGTAATTAAAGGCAGATGACACAAGCTAACCTTGAGTATTTTAACAATCTTCATGAGAAAGATGAAACTGACAACAGTAACACAAACTTAAGAGGGTCACTAACCACATTTAGGAGCTAATGAAGAAAAGCGGACAACAAAATTATGCTTTTAGAAAAATGTTCAGACGACTAATATTTCCATCAGAGCCTCTTTACAAAAGCCGTTATACAAGACATAGTTATACAACATCATGTGGTAGATTAACACTAACCAGAAGATGGATCCGTTTTAAAACCACCTAAAATGTTTTTGTAAATGTTTTTGTAAATGTTTTTGTATCATAAATAATTACAATAAAATGTTAAATAAGATTGATTTCAGATTAAGTGTCACCTGAACCAGCCAGCTGACATGTGCAAACCAAAAAAATAAATAAATAAAATCAATCAACATTTTTTTATGTTGTGGGAAAACAAATCCTCATATCCTAAACAAATTATTGGTAGTGACACAGTAGGAGGAATATTACTGTTACGTCTGTAAATAAAGATTAGTTAAGACACTGTTATCCATTCTGTTTTACAGACATTTGTATTTTTTTATTTCCTGACAATAAAGACATTATGTTTTTTTAAAGGCATTTGAATGATCCACTGTAACAGTAAATGAAAAGAAAGCTGGAAGGAAAAACGAAACATGATATTATAAATGATCTAAAATGTGATATTAGGCTCTGAAATGACATCATTGACTTTGCTTTACAATGAAAAGTAAGAGGCAGAGCAGTGGCTTGGGGGGTTAAAAGTAAGCACATTTCGTAAAAGGCCACTTTTACTCTTCTGTTTTCAATCCTCTCAGAGAAACATTTCCTATTTAAAAATGTAAACAAAGAAGTCATATTTAATAAATATGGTCAAAGTTACCAAGATAACACATATGGAAGACCAAAAGGTGGTAAATAAATCTCATTATCTTGTAAAAATCTACTAGAAAACACAGATTATGAATATGCCATAAAGTCCCTGAAAGAGCAAACACACACACACATACACATGCGCGCACAGAGAGAGACAGAGAGGGTTCTGATTTATCTACAACACAGAATCATTGACTGAAATCTAACATTTTATACACAGACACAACCACTTAAGTATTTAATGAGTTTTTTTTTTGTTTGTTTTTTCTTTAAGTGGTCTGTGCAAATATTTAGTGCATATGAATGATTTGTATCTGATAAAGTTTTCTGAACCCGTGTTTAGGCCTGACAGGATAACATCTGTAGAAATATTGCAAAACCTTTTGTTTATAAAGTACCAGTTTTCTGTGCCCTATGCTCACCGGCCACCTGACGACATGCAACGATGTGAACTACTTTCTCTAGATGTTGAATTTGCTACACAAAGCTGAATCTGACTCAAACTGTTGCTCAAACGTCTAATCTCCTGCAGCTCAGTGTAAACCTGCAGCAGGAAATCTGCCCAAAAGAAACTGACCCTGGATCAGATCTGTGCTTTACACTAGATACTGGAAAGACAAAAATATAATTACTGCGTCGTGACACACAGAACAGATCTGAGACGATTGTTTTTTTCCATTAGCAGCTCACCCATGGTAATAATAATAATAATAATGCATTGAACTTATATAGCGCTTTTCTAGTCACCCAAAGACGCTTTCACACACTCTCACATTCACACACTGCTAGTGATGGTAAGCTACTTGTAGCCACAGCCGCCCTGGGGAGGTCTGACAGAGGCGAGGCTGCCATTTGGCGCCGTCGGCCCCTCTGACCACCACTAACACAGGCAAGTTGGGTGAAGTGTCTTGCCCAAGGACACAACAGCAGGATACCCCTGGCGGGAGCTGGAATCGAACCCATGATCATGAGGCAACCCCGCTCTACCACCTGAGCTACTGCTGCCCCGGTAAACACCAAAATAACCATTTCTGCACGTTTTCACACAGCATACAAAAAAAAATTAAATTTGCACAATTAAGACATGGTGATTTCATACCACATAGATAGACAAGTAATTATCTTTTGTTATTTAAAAAATGTACAATAAAAGAAACAGCTGTTGTTGCAACAGTTTTATAAACACAGAGTTTTCCTCCATTTGTGAACTGTGGTTAAACTACTCAATAATATATTTTTGTCCTTTGGTTTTTGTGTTTTTTTACAAAACTTTTTTGTCTCAACTTGGGAAGTTTAAGTCCAGTGTCTTAATTTTTTAAACCTATTTATTATTAATCTTTTAATTAGCCTTTAATAATTTCCTAATTTGTCCTCCTGTGAGAGAGTGACAGGTCAATCAGATCGTTTGTTACATTAAAATGAAGTCTTTTAGGTTTTTCCTTCATACTTGATGCAATAAAACTTGTTCCATAACTTTAAAAGTTCCCTGGAATTTAATTCACAGGGTTTTCAAAAAGCAGCACACCTGATTTAGATGTCTATCCATTAACATTAACTTACAACAAACGGCAGCAGAGGCTCTTTAATGACTGCGACACACTCGGGATGCAGTGGGAGCTGCAGGAATCTGTAAGTTAGTCGCTCCACGTCTCTGACTGTCCGGCGTCTTGTGCTACGAGTCGGATACTAGCCAGTGCTGAAGCTGAGCGATCCCACGGTGCATTTGAACGACGTAGAAGTCTACGTTTCTGGAGAAGTCCTGACAGACGGAGGACTGGGCATCGCCGAAAGCACAGTAAAGGGCGGTGCCACCAATGCTGATCACTACTGTCACTAGACACAGAAGGAAGAGGAGCAGACAGGAATCTCCACTACCGACATCTGCAGAAACAAAACAGGAGTCAGAGGGGTTGTATGGAAAGACGAATGAACCAATATGTAAAATAAACTGTTGAATCTGTTGACCCGCCCACCAACAGTTTTACAAATCAGCTCACAAATCCAACTGCAAAACATGTTATTTGGAAGTAAAGCACATCTGCTGTATTAATGCTGTGGTGGTGGGCACTTTTATTTTTAAAAACAAATGAAATAGCATTTTAACATCAGGATATAAACATACCGTTCTCATAGCCATCATCGGGAACTCTGAAGCGGACACGTCTTTTGGCAGTGGGGTTTTCAGGCAGGAGCTCAGAACTGACAGATGTGCTCAGAGTCTCCAAACGAACGCTTCGTTTCTTCAATATGGAGACGAGACCAGAGGTAGGAGATATCTGGGAAAAAACGAATCAAACACAAAAACTAATGAAAACTCTGATTTTGAACAGCACAGATTGAAAACCTCATTTAGATCACCTCATCAAGATCAATTCAGCCAGTAGGGGGCAGCACACCATACACTCAGTGATGGACTCGACCTTTTTATCAATATTTAAATGTTGGAGGGGGGGCTGTTTTGATTCAGCATACTGTAAACCTGGGGTAGAAATCTGGTACATTTTTCCATTTTCTCCCTATTGATGTTATTTTTTAAATCATTTTTATGAATCTTTTTAATTTTATGTTTATTTCTTGTTCTTGTGAAGCGCCTCGTGATTTTTATCTTGAGAGGCGCTAAATAAAAAAACAGTTACTTCTTCTTCTTTATACATGTAACTCCTGGCTGCCTGCCAGGGTCAGCTGACTCTGACAGGGGTGAACTTTGCCCGGTTAATGCCAACCCGTTGCAGTAATAATGACATAATTTAAATGTTTTGATTACATTCGAGCATGTGACAATTTTGAGCATTTGCGGTAATTAACGTGGGACTAAACTCGATCACTTTCTCATTAGTCCTGCAGATATGACATGAGTTGTTTGTAAAATAGACGTTAAAAGTGTAAAATTACAAGTAAACACTCGTATTTATCTGCTTACTTTGTTCATAATCCTTAAAATAAATAAAGCCAAATAAAATGTTGTGATGGCATCATAGATCTGCAGAGATAATTATGTAATGTTTAAATAAACAGACCAAAATTCATAAACACCATATTTAAAGAATAGTTTGATAACATTTTAAAAGTGCACATTAGGCCTATAGAAAAACAAACTAAACATAATAATTACAGCACATACCTCTTCAACAGTGATGAGTCTTGCCATTTCGTCCAGTGAAGGAGCTTCTCTTATCAAGTGAGCTGGGTCAGCTTCATAGTCTTCCTCCTCCTCCTCCTCTGCACACTGCTCCTGCTGCTTCAGATGGGCCTCCTCAGGAGGGAGTGTCTCCTTATGCCGGCTGGTTTTAGTGCTCTCCTGGAGAGATAATGGAAAAACATGGATCCCGTTTACACCGCATCACCATAAAGTAGCCGAGACAATCATTCCTTTAGGGGTTTGACTCTGTCCTGTCGTAACACTGCTCTGACATCAATCTCAGATTATAAATACCGTACAAACTGAAAAATGTTGATTTGATTTTAAACACATTTAAAGTCCAATCATTTGTTAAGTACCTGTGTGTCTTGGCACTGCCGGCTCTCATTATATAGTAAATCATCCAGCAGCAGCTGTTGTTGTTCCTCTAACTCCCCCCCACAGGCCAGTGTCTTCACTGACAGAGATTCCTGGTCTCCTCCCTTGTGCTTCTCCTCTCCATCATCTTCTGCTCCCTCATCCTCCATCTCCAAAGCTTCAGCCGCCTCCTCTATGTCACTCTCATCTTTCTCCCCTTTTGTCTCCCTTTCCCGTGCACATCTTAAATCTACTTCCTGCTGCTCTGCAGGATCGGACTGATCCACTTCCTCAGCTGTAGGGGGGTGCAGCCCGTTTCCTAGGGCTGAAGTGGTGCATCTCACCCCTCCGTCCTCCTCTCTGCCACGGTCTTGCTGTTCAGTCAGCTCTGATCTGTGGGAAATACCCCTCCCCTCCATTTCTCCTCTAGGGTCTTCCTGGATATTTTTGTGGGAATCGAGCAAATTACTGGAGTGTTTGACAGGAGGAGATAAGTCTTCAGCTTTGTGATCCATCCTTCCTTCAACCTGATGGGCTGGATTAAAGAACAGAGAAGGTATTCAGGAAATACTAAAAATTACATTTTTCTGCTTTTAAAATAATACCTTTTAGAATTTCCTGGTTTTATTTCACGTGACAAACTTCTCAGATGCAAATAATGAATGATGCAGAAATAAAATCAAAGCCAAGCCAGATTTAGGACGATTACAGAAAATGCTTTTGTAATCCGAATCACCATTAGTGCGATGAACAGACATCCAAATCTGAGAGGCTTCGAACACAAACCTGAGAAAAATAACATGAATCTAAACCAAATATTTACAAAGAGTAATCCAAAATGTCAAAAACCTCTTTTTTTTTTTTACAAGATTTCCAGCAACAAAGAAGTTTTTCCATTTTATTTTTAACACCTACAAACATACAAGTTACACAAATATCAGCACATTTAAACTCACTCACATGAAGTGCATGAAGGCCGTGAACCACCTCTTTCAGATTTAGGTCTCAAAGTGTCCAGAGAAGCACACTGTACACATAAAAACATCTGCAGTTAGAAAACAACACGAGACAAATTACTCTGGGACAGAAAAGTTACTTTGTATATCAGACATACAAACATGGATGAACATCTACTGATATCTTACCTCAGTATCTTTTGTCCTCGGTCTAAAAACAGCAGAGAAACAGAGTGAGACAGCTGAGAGTACGGAGAGTCACTTCTGAGATTTAGTAAACCAAGACTCAAAAGATGGCTGACCCTTCTCTGCTCTCTCCATCTAATATTAGCCTGACCACACTTCCCTGGTTAATAAAACGTGTGAGAGCTAGCGTGTGGGTTTGTAGTTCATGTTTAACTCAAAATCTGTTTACATTTGAATAAACAACGCATTTAAATGATCTACATTTATATTTATAAAAAAACATTCAGTGGAAAGGATTAGCTACATTAACTACGGTTTAGGTTACTCTACTCCAGTAAAAAAAAATTATATGAATAAAAGTAGAGTCGTCTGAAGTCTAGGACACACGACTGTACGCGCACAAGTTGAGCGAAGTGAAACCTAAGCAGAGTGAAGGCTCAGATGTCTAAAAGTGCAGAGGCAGCAGCCGCCAAGGGCCATGCGTTTTGACCACCACCTCAGTGCTAAACACAAACACCAGGATACACACGATCAGCGTCACGCAGACACAAACACACACGTCACCTGACTCATTACAGAATGTACAGGTGTGCATGCGCGCGCGCTAGTGTGTGTGTGTGTGTGTGTGTGTGTGTGTGTGTGTGTGTGTGTGTGTGTGTGTGTGTGTGTGTGTGTGTGTGTGTGTGTGTGTGTGTGTGTGTGTGTGTGTGTGTGTGTGTATGTGTGTGTGTGTGTGTGTGTGTGTGTGTCACACCTGACAGGAATTGCTCACTGAGGATTTTACTCTTTTTGCTTGTGCATTAATATTTTCAACTCAAATTTAATGTATTACCCAAAATATTAGACGGTATTTAAAGGTATTCCATGTTTATTTATTTATAAAATCCTGTTTGAAGACATGAAACATTATGCAGCTCATTTTAATTTTTTTATTTTCTGACTATTGTGTAGTGGTGTGCATCTCTACCTGCCTCACGATTCGATCCGATTATCTGCCTAACGATTCGATTTGAGTCTGAAATGCATCACGATTCTTCACACAAAAATTGTCATTACTTAATAAAAGCAGTAGAATAGTTTTCAATTTCTTTTTGATTTCGAAATCCCTGAAAAACAGAACATACATCTATTCACTATAGTGAGCAATAATTGTTAAAGTGTTCTGCCAATAATTACTTAAATAATATAAGAAATAACGTTTTCGGTATAGCTTTAAGATAGAATATTACTGAACTTAAAAATAGTAAACAAATACTGTGTTAAGTGATTCTTTCACATCCAGGATCCCAAAACCGAAATTAGCCCAGACATCCGATTTAGATGTAACGGGTACATGTTTGATTACTGGTAATGTTGGCCCTGTATCCCTGTCCGCCTTTTCTGTTTTAAATTGGCGCTAGGGCAACGCAGTGCGCATGTCATTGCAACTCTGCCCCCAGAAGTAATTGTAAAACCTCAATACTTTATTGTCCTGCATAGACATAGACCAGGAGTCGGCAACCTGATCCCATCAAAGAGACATTATTACCCGTTTCCCACAGTAAAGAAAACACTGGGAGCCACAGCAGCCGCGGCGTTGTGGGCGGGGCCTACCCTCAGACAGCAGAGAGCTGCTCACAACAGGTGACAGCAGCCGGTACCGGTCGCTCGTGAACATCAAAGCTGTCTTTCATAAGACGATAATCAATAAAACGATTCATATAAAGTGGATCCAGAAGCTGTAGCCCGTCTCTGCCGACAATATTTTGATATTTTTCACCCTGTTGGTGGTTTTACTGAGCAGGTGCCACTTTTGTCATACGTTTCTTTTTAAAACATGTTTAGACTGTTCAGAATACAAATCCAGGCTCTGTCACGTTTGATTGTTGTAATTAAACTTTGTAGGTGGGGAAGGTCAGAAAAGGATCCGATCATTTTGTTTTTCCCTCATTTACAGCGACGGAGATAACGGTGCAGTGCGCCTGGCTCTGGTGTTAATCAAGTTTAATTATATCTCTTTGCAACAATTTTCACAAGAAAACAGAACAGTTAAAAGCAGGGCTTGTGTTGTGTTGACCGGATAGTTCCCGTATTTGACTATTTATTTTGATGGAGAAAGAATAAGAAACAATAACCCCGACGCATGCAGACGAACTGACATTTTATTCGTTTCGCACATCGCAGATGTAGCTAAATCACTCAAGAAATGATTCCCATCTGAACATCTGAGCTGCTCAGCGCAGCTCACTGTCAGCATGTACTACATGAGGTCCACAGCGAGCTGAAGATGTGGAGAGGGGCTTGGAGAGCGTCGCAGAACCAGAGCGCATGCAGGAAGATTCCTCCGACTGAAGCGAGACTTGTCACTTAGAAAATGTTCCCTGATTATGAAACTTTGGCTGAATAGTGCTTGTTCCTGTCTCCAATGTGGCGACACATCCAGGAGCCGTCTGAGGAGAAGCCCACAATCTCACATCCTCTTCAGCTCAGAAAGCGCCGATATGATTACGCACAAGCGTGACGCGTCAACCCGGTCTCACAGTAAGACCAGGTTGGAACTGTTCAGGTTTACGCAGACAATCTTTACATTTAGAATTGACTTACAGATGTAAAATTAATGCAGTAAAACATAAAGCATTTTATTTAAATATCCATTCATTATTTTACAAGCACAGAGAGTCGCATCAGATGGATGGAAGAGCCGCATGCGGCTCCAGAGCCGCGGGTTGCCGACCCCCGACATAGACATAGGGAGAAAATCTCATTATGTCACATTGCTGCATCGATGCGGAATCATGCACGGCTGAATCGCGATGCATCTTAGAATCGATCATTTTCCCACCTCTACTATCGTGACACCAAAAAATTCTAAAGTTAGAAAATATACTAAATATTACAAATTTTTAACCCAACTTAAGGCATCAACTTGTACCTTTTAGAAAAAAAAGGTCATTGCACAATTTTTCTCAAAAAACAAATAATTCAAACACTAACACTAAAACAGACAACAGATAGTGTAGTGAAGATGTGAAGAATGAATGTACATTATTTTTTTATAAAAAAAATACTAAATGCATTTTTGAATAAGAAGCAAAATATGTAAATGAAAACTCTTACACATCATTCCTACACACACAATAAAAACATGCATGAAGACTAACCGAGTGTGTGTCTGGCAGATGTGTTTAAGTGTGTCCAGGTGGTGGGTTTCCAGGTCAGAGGTCGTCTTTCCACAGCGACTCTCTGAGTTGAAGAGACACAAGAATCAAATAAAAATGTATTTCCTGCTGTTTATGAGAGTACAACAAAAAGAGAACGAGGAAGTGTGTGTGTGTGTGTGTGTGTGTGTGTGTGTGTGTGTGTGTGTGTGTGTGTGTGTGTGTGTGTGTGTGTGTGTGTGTGTGTGTGTGTGTGTGTGTGCATGCGTGTGTGTGTGTGTGTGTGTGTATGTGTGTGTGTGTGTGTGTGTGTGTGTGTGTGTGTGTGTGTGTGTGTGTGTGTGTGTGTGTGTGTGTGTGTGTGTGTGTGCATGCGTGCGTGCATGCGTGTGTGTGTGCGTGTGTGTGTGCATTACCCCATCGCTCCTGAAGTGCATTCAGATTGTCCAACACTCTCTGGTGGTAGAGTCTCTCTAGCTGGATGAACCACAGCGCTCGCTGATCTGGTGACCAAAGGTTAAGGGAGCAGCACCCACAACAGCAGAGACAGTTATTTATGGGATTAACAACAGAAACCAAAACAGTGGAAAAGTGACAAGTGGCTATTTTAACCTAATTTCCAGGGCAGTCCTTCTAGTTTACCAATTTAGTTGTTTGTTCAGATGCGCCACTATAAACCTATAATTTAAGCAACTAAAATGCACACAACTGCAGAAATAAGTGAGGATTGCAGTGAGTCAATGTTGAGAAGCTTGTTTATAAAAAAAAGAACAGAAAGCTGGTCAAGTGGAGGGCAAAAGAAAAAAGTGGCAGAAGACAATAAATATATCCAAAGCAAACCAGCATTATCTGACAATATTGTGAAAGTAGTATATTGTTATGATGCATGATTCTTTCATGCACACACAAAGTTTCAGTAGATAAGTGTTAAAATGCTTAACCAACAATAATAACTAATCCCTGAGAAAAATTGGCAAATTAGAAACATAAGGGAATAAAATCTCTCTGAAAGCTCCCGATTACTTTAAAAAGTTACTTTTAATTTCAAAGCCAAATATTAAAAAGTGGAAAATAAGTTTTCATCAAACTGCAAAAAGGACAAAGGGAGGAATAAAAGCAACAAAGTGAGCGATGGTGAAGGAGGGAGCATTCCCCTCATGTTTATGCATAAAGAAAGTAAAAATACAATCCTTCTTTGACACGGCTCAATGCTTTCTCTGACTAAAGCTCTGCAGACGCATGACAGCCAGGCTGTTCTTTTCCTTCATGCATTTATCTCTTCACTCCTTTTGTCTTTTCACTAAATAAAAACCTTTGTTCTCTCGTTTTTAAACTTTAATCTTTTACTCCTAAACATTTTTCACACAGAGGTTAGAGAACACTCACACCGCATCTAAAAATTAACTGTCAGAAATGAGTGACTTATTACTACAAAGAAAGTACAAAAACTACATGTTCAAGGGTTAAGTACATAAGACTGAAACCACACACACACGCACACACACACACGCACACACATATATTGCAAGGATACAATCTTTCTGAAGAACGAAGGACTCAGCAATCTGCAGGATAAAGAAAATATAACATTTCATAAAATGCTTGCTTTAATGCAATGTTGCAGACATTTCTCAAAAATACTTGTTTGAAAAAATTCTAACAAAAACTTCTTTGTAGATTCATCAAAATAAAATGAAAAAAGCTGCAGAGAACGTCCAATCTAGAGCTAAATCTGAGTCTTCCCTGCTTCTGTGATTATACAATATTTTACCTAATTAAAAAAGAGAAAACATAAGAGACTAAATAAAACACAAGTTCTTTTAGAACTGCAGTGAAAGTGAGAGCGGGAGTGAAAACATACACTGACCGAGAGAAAAACAAGAGACCGTGGCAGAAACTCTACCTCATTTCAGAAAGTGTGGCGTTCATGTTGCTCAGCTGATTTTAGAACAAGTGTGTGTGTGTGTGAGAGAGAGAGAGAGAGAGAGAGAGAGAGAAACTAGACGACGGAGAAAAAGGACCAAGGGCACACAAGGCTCTTGCATTCCTAGTGAAGTGAGAGGGTGGTAACTAACAACATTTTAAAAGCATTTAAAAGTGCTTTGTTCAGATAGTTTGTGGACGACTCTGGTCAAACGAGAGTTTCAAACTGATTTCGGTTCTGTTTTTTTCATTGTTTTTAAATATTAGTAGCAAAATTTTGAGAGGACACCAGTAAAGTGTCCTCTAAGGTTAATATTCTGCCTGTGGAAACCACTGCTGCTAAATGTGGGAGTTTCATGTCTACGAGCAGAAGCACATACACATCCCCTTTTAGTAAACCTTGTTAAAAACAAAACGTGAGTGTGTCTTCTTGTATGGTAACGGGGATCAAAACTGGCCACATTTTCAGGAACTTATTGGTTGCACATTCACTTCTTGAAAATGTGAAACTATGGGGATTAAGACTCTAAAGTTCTGGTCTAGAGTTCGGCCAGGGTTACACATCCCACTTTGATGATTAAGGTTTATAAATCACTGGAGAGAACTGACAGAGAAATGCATGTACCACACTTTTACAGGGATCATCTGCTTTTATGTAAAGTGTGTAGAGATGGGGTCTCCAACCATGGTCCATCTAGCATGTTTAAGTTGTTTCTGTGCTCCATCAGTTAATTCAACGGTAGAATTACCTGTTCAGCGGCTCTAATTTCCCTCTGGGATTAATAACGTATCTTTGATTTGATTTGTTTTGATCAAGCTCCGCATAAATATGTTAATCACCCACTAATTAAAACCAAAGTGTTAAAGCAGAGGAACCTCAAAAACAGAAAGGAACGGAGCACTTGAGCACCAGGGTTGGAGACCCCTGATGTGAGGATTTTAGTAAGATCCAGTGGCAGTCGCTAAGAAAACTATCCTCATGAATTGGAAAAATAGAGATACTCTTTGCATTAACCAGTACAGCAATCTTTTGTTAGATCATATTACACTTGATACAGCCTCTGGTCCCACTTCAAATCAATCTCTCTGGGCTCCTTTGATCGGGTCCATCACAAAGCGATGATGAGGGATCATAGATATTGTCCTGCGGGATGATGTGGGTGATGGGGTGGAGGGTATGAGTTTGGAGTATCCTGACGTTCCCTGGATGTGGGTTCACTGGGGGTGTCTGGGTCTGGGGGGCTGCTGCCTCCCCTCTGGAGGTGTTTGGGTTGCCTCGGGGGGTGGACTACTGGCGGTTGTGAGTGGGGCCCCTTGGGGGTCTTGGCGGAGGCGATGGGTCGCTGCCTGGCAGCTGCATTGCTCCTGGACTGGTCTGGGTGGGGGCCTGGGGTCTCGGGGTGTGGGGGTAGCCAGCCCCGTGTGGGGATCTGGGCGGGGCCTTGGGGGTTGGGTCCTGACATGTATGCTGCCTGGAAGAAGGCGGGAACATGTGGCAGTGCCTGGCCTAGGCTCAGGGGCCTCAGGTAGACCTTGGCCCCATCACAGGGGAGGGGGATGTCCAGGAGGGGGAGGACCCAACCTTACCTGGATGTCCTATGTCTTATAAAATCTGGAAGTTGTGCAAATACAGGGATGGGCATAGATATTCTGCTGGGGTGGGGCTGGGTTGGTGCCCTCGGACTCAGTGAGGCTCTGTGATGCTGCTGCTTTGGGCCCTGGCAAGATGGGCTGGGGTCTCCATGCCCTGGGTGGCATTTTGGCAACAGAGGTGCCTACTGGGGCCAGTGGGGGAGCTGGCTCCCTGGAGGGCTTAAGTCCAAACAGCCATTCCTCCCCATCCCCACACAATTTTCTCTTCCTGCTCCCTCACATCATCACACAAACATGCACATAGGACCTTGGGGGGTGGACAAGTCAGGGGGTGTGGGTATGGACTCCATTTCCGCATCCCTGTGGCAACCAGGCCCCCAATTTGATCTGCACCTTAAACACTTCCACCAACGACATTCCACGCAAACACACACTTAGGGCCTTGGGAGTGAGCACATTCAACTGCATTTGGCAAGGGGATTTTTCAGCCTCATCTCGAGTGCCGGTGCCCACTTCCAATATTAAACTGCACTTAGACACAGAGCTGTGGGTGCAAGTGGGGTGGGGTGGTGGCATCAGCTGGCGTAGGCCAGACGATGCCCACACTGCCCGCTCACCACAGCCATGGAATACACCTCATCAATACGCACTAACATTATATTGGAGCAGGCGGAGGGAGACTAGGGGTCTTCGCAAACCTCTGTAGTCGCTTGGCTTCCCGAACTGGTGACTAGGAGAGAGATCTGGCCGTCCGGTTGGGGTCTGGGGTGGTGGGTTGCTTTGCTCAGCGTTGGACGGGGGAGCCTGCTCATCAGCACCCCAGCAGAAAGGGCCGAACTCTGGTAACCGGTGATGGTTGTACCCCATGTGCAGCAGTACCGGGACCAGAGTGAATAGGGTGTGTATGGAGAGCATGAGAGGGTGTCCGGCATGCATTTTTGTAAGTCTTTGTTGTATGTGTATGTGTATGTGTGAGCATGAGGGAGTGAGTGTGTGACTGTGTCTGTGTATGACTGGATATGTCAGGTGGGGTCTTTGACTCCTCCCTTCTCCTGGGACTTTTTTTGATGCTATACATCTTCGTCTCTCCTCCCCCAGCCACACATGGTGTGGAGTGCGGTGTCTTGGTCTGCCTAAAGCTTGGTTTATGCTTGACGCATTCACTTTCCGCTTGGTGATGCGGCTCGCGGATGGAACGCGCTTCACAACTCGCAGTGTTTATGGTTCGTGCGGCTTGTCTCTGCGGTGAGCCAATATTCTCCCAAACTGTAGGGGGCAGCATGGAGCTCTACGGCATGCATCCAACACTACACCATAGTATAAGTAGAAATTACTGTTTACAACATGGCATTCCAGCATTTTTAACAGCGCCCTCGTCTTTTCCGACAGTGCGAGCTATTTCTCTCCAATTATTAACAACATGTTGATCACGGTGATCTTTGAGAGCTGAATCATACAAATGTCTGTATTTACGAGCCTCTGCCATACTAGTTCTTGCCAGTCCGCCATGTTTTTCCACGTCCGACCGTCTGCGTGGTTAGAAAATTTCCTAGGTGTGCGGTGCGGAAATTTTGGGCCGTGCAGAGGCGCGGTGGAGGGGGCGTGGTTGTTAAAATGACGCAATTTCACTGCGCAGAGCCGTGCGGACCTCGCGGACGCGTCAAGCATAAACCAACCTTAAGTGTTCGTGGCTCCCGGGTCAGGGGGTTTAAGATTTTTGGCGTCTGCCTGACCAATCACGGTGGCTGCCTGGTGGGATCTGGGTCCCTGGGCTCTGCCGGGTCCCGGGCTCGGCCGGCTGGGGGGTGGCAGGCTGCGGGCGGGCGTGTGGGCTTGCCGCCGATATCACCCGAGACTCTGCCGGCTGCTGGTTGTGGCCCCCCGGGGCGATCCTCTGCACCTCTCGAGGGGGGAAGGGGCTTTTCTGGTCACAGTCTTCTTTTGGGTCCCTGTGCTCTGGGGGACTTGGAGCTCCCTCCATCTCCTACACATCTTTGGGGGACAGATCTGTGGCCCCTCACACTCTCTATTGGACGCTCCTATAGAGAAACCTTACATATACAAGCGCAGGTACACACACAGGTGCTCACATGGTGCTCTCATAAGTATGGACTTGGGCATTTTCAACACGTCTTAAGGCTGTGGTTGGCACCAAATGCACTGGGATTTATTATCGTGCGATTGTTCAGTTAAACAATGTTGATTTTATATTTCTTCATCAAGTTGACGCAGTGATAGCTTGCTCCTGTTAAACTGTTGTGTGTCCCTCTTCTGCAGGTCTAGAAGCAGACTCTTGTTCATCATTGATCGTGCCTCGTGGATTTTATCTTGAGAGGTGCTATATAGAAGATTTTTTCTTCTGCTTCTAGTTGCTTAAAGACCAAGTTTACTCGTTTTGACACATTTTGCAGTCTCTAATATGAATGCCCTGTGAGTCGATCTCTGGGACAAAAGGTCTGACGCTCCTGTTTCAGGAGGTTTAAGTGAGCTGAACATGGCAGAATTTGAGTCTTATTTCCTAATATTTGTACACCTTGGCTTTGATTGGCTAACAGCAACATGGCTCTACCACAGATTCTATTTGCTTTTGCTTTGCAACATTGATGATTTACCTCCACAAATAACACAAGCCTGAAGGAGTTCTGCCATGTTAAGGAGTTGCTAATGCTAATGGTTGGCTTCTACTAGCCCCTTCCGCAATCTCCTGGACACTAAACAAACAACGGCCTTCCTCGTTGCGAGCCCAGATGAGGTAGAAGACTATTTTCACGTTCAGCATGATGTGACCAATCATTTTTCAAAAATAACAAGAAAAAAACTGTTATTCAGTGAACTTAGCATTTAAATGTAAAGAGTAATCTACAGCTATATGTTGTAATGTTTAATGTAAATTAAAATAAAAAAACTGATTTATTAAACAAATACTTTGTATTGTACTTGACCTTTTCCATTTTAAGAAACAGTTCATTTTTCTGCCCATGCTGGCTCTCTGCAGTGTTACAACAAAATCATAGTCACATACACATGTTTGCCTTGCATGGATCAGGTGTGAATGATGTTTTAAGTTAGCCTGACACAAATGTTAACACACCCTAAAAGTCTCAAGCTGAGTCATGCAGGTTTATGTGTGAGAATGAAACCAACACAGCGGATCTCAGTGACTGATTTTGTTTGAACATACAGGTGGCTTCTGTGCGTGCATGAACATGGACGCCTCTGCCTGAGGGTTCAAAAGCCTGTTTTGATTTCCAGGTTGAGTGAATAAATTACAGCATTTAAAATGTGTGTGAGAGTAAAAAACAGACAGGAATAACAGATTTTTAAGCAATGCATAAGTTGTGGTATTAGACATACACTTGGTAAAAGATAGATTACCTGGTGAAGGTATCGTGGAAGGTGAGTATCATCGTCTCTTTGTGCCAGCTGTTCCAGAGACTCCAGGTGAGTGGGGCTTAAAACAGATCCAGTAGAGCATGTAGAGAAGGAGGAGGAAGTGGTCTCTGAAGTGGAGGTATTCTGTTCGTGATTTGAGGTTAAAGGTGATGTCACGGAGGTGAACTCTATATTTGCTGGATTCAGCCCCGTGGTGAGGACTTCTGCTGTTGTACTTGCAGCAGTGGAAGAGTTGAGTTGTGTTGGTTCAGGTGATGTGGATGTCACTGCACCTGAGCAGAGATGTCCAGCAGCTGAGCTGGCAGCCCCAATGCTAGAAGTGGACCCACAGGGTGAGGTAAGTGACTCTTTTACTCTCCTGTCAGAGTCTTCTGTAAATGTACAAGCAGGGCTGCCAGGACACGGGTCAGAGGTTGTCCCCTGTGTGTTAAAATCTACTGGCCCAGTGGTAAAGGAAGGTCCGTGTGTGCAGGTCACCCCCCCTGTCATGGAGGCAATGGACACAGCACCACTCTGGCTCAGGTCCAATGAACTGATGGGATGTAAAGTTTCTGGACTGACTACTGGAATGACAGGAGATGTGGGCTCTGGACTTGTCCCAGGACTGAACGGGTACAGCGTCTCCAGCAGACTTCCTACAGAACGGAGGACAGGTAGTCAGAAGAGAGGAACAAGAAACTGCTTCACTGGAAACCCAGAAAGAGAATTAGATAAAAGCAAAATGTCAACTGTTCTCACACACACACACACACACACACACACACACACACACACACACACACACACACACACATTGTTGACATAACACACATTGTTTGATGACAGTTCAATTCCATCTGAAAATAGGTGTCGTGTTTGTGTTTATAGGCAGAAGAAATGGTAAATAATAATTCATAAGTGAAGCATGAAAAGTGTGTGTGCGTGCGTGTATAATTTCTCACTGACATTCACAAAACCCTACGTATGAAACTTTACTCTGCCAGTGATCTCTGGAAGTTAAACAAACATCTTAGTAAACTTGTTAAAATAAGTAATTAATCCAACGACAAACATGCTCCTAATTACTGGAAGAGATCAGGTTGGTGAATGATTGTGTACATTTACAGAACTATTGAGTCTAATGAAGTCCTGTCTGAGCAGACAACTTTATCGTTGTTATTTATTAACAATTAACGGAGTAAAGCCGTTGGAGGACCTCTGGACCTCTGCTGCCCCCATCTGGCCAAAAAGAGCATACCGTAAATCCTCTAATACAGGCCCGGGTCTGTATTTTACTCAAGCTCATCAAGCTCCAGGCCTTTATTGGAAGGAGGACCAGTATTAGAGGCAGACCTCAATTTCTATTTGAGCAAAATGAACTAATGGTTCGCTGGAGTTTTTGACAATTAAAATTGTGCCCACATTTTCAAAGTTAAACACATTTCTTTTAACAACGGTAGTTTCTGCTTCAGCCCTCTCCCCCTCCCCCTGCGCAGCGGCCGCAAACTCACTGATGCACCTGCAGCCTTTCAGAGTTCCTGCTGCTCTAAAATTTAAAATAATTATTTCATTTTCTGTTCCTCACTTCCGATGACCTTCAATGGTGTCTGTTTGTTGCAACCAGCAGGTACAAAAACTAACTTGTTTTTATTTGACTATTTTTCTGTCCTGTCTGTTTATTATCTTCCTGCATCTCCTCTCAATCCTAAAGAAAAACTGCCACCTGGCTTCATATATATTCACCTCATGAGTTACCTTTGAACTGCAGTTCTAAAAGATCTACCGACCGCAGAAACAGCGGAGTGCGAGCTGCTCGCCGGCCACATCAGTGATCGGTGCGTCACTGGAGGACAAGGTGATGCGCCCCGCTCCACAGCAGCGAAAAGCATCAGGCACAAATAAAAGAATAAAAGACAGAAAACATAAAAGGAAATGAGCCGACATGAACGATCGCGTGTTAAATTAGTTTTTGAGGTAGTGACACCTGATTTGATAATGTTACTGTGGCCGTGCTCAGGACGCAGATGTCTGGAGCGCGTCAACAATCAGAGCTTTGCATGCGCAAGCTGGTTAAGGTTAGGATGGGGGTGAGGGGAATGTTAAATTGCAAGAGGGAAAAGGTCACAATTTGGTTTAATGTCCGTTTTACGGCGGGTGTCAGTACCGACGCTCTGGCACAGCGCGTTGCCTCCCGACACACAGGAGCTTGTCACCTGCTGACAGCAGGCTGCTGTCTTTTCCGTGGACTGCATCTTGCCGGTCATTATCACGTGACAGCAACTAGTCGATGACAGGCATAAAAAGTCACTATAGAGCAGTGAAGTCGACTAGTGACTAGTTCATACAACCCCTACTACTGCTCCCCAGTGTGTTCTGCAGCATGATCAGCACGTTCTCTTTGAACTTGATATCAAATTTTCGCCTCCTCTTCGTCTCTGCACGGTTAAAGTTACCCTCGTGGTCCATCACTGGCAAATCAAAAGTGAGACGGATGACACAACCGCCCCCCGTACTTGCTTGTTACCACATTCCACCCGGCCACAATAAAAAAACGGCCATTATTCACCTCCGCCGACTCCGACACCGGCCAAAATATGATACCCGGCAGTTAATTAAATACAGGCTAATATTAGAGGATTTACGGTATTTCACAGTAAGTTTGATCATTTTTCTATCGTGTACAGGTTTTTGTGTCACCTACCAGTTTCTGAGTATGAAGAATCAGTCATGGGAATATCTGGAGACTGGCAGCAAACTAACGAGCTTGACGTCTCTGATTCTTCCTCCATAGCATCATCGATGTCTTCTTCTTCATTCTCATCTCTAGCCATTCCAGTGTGTACCTCGTTTCCCTTCTCCACCTCCTTCCACTCCTTCCCACTGTCATTAGGAGAGGGTTTTTGGATGAGGCCGCACGTTCCCCCCTCATCACTTTGTGAAAGGGGTAGAGTTTGTGTGAGAGCCTTGATCTCGTTGAGGTTCCTTGTTTGGGCGGCGAGAGCTTCAGCGCTGGGCGAGTTATCACAGAGGTCAAACCCGTCCACCTGGACCTGTGATATCGTTCTGCCCTCTCTGTCAAACTGACCTGGGAATGAAATTCAGCTGAAATTACAACTAAATTAATATAGAGTATAGAGTTTTTTTCCACAGCGAGTCAGTTGAATGTGACTCTATATATTATTTACAGACTGTCCCTTGGAATTTGAGACAGCAGCAACTACAGCACTACCAACTCAGCCTTCCTCAGCACCTACTGTCACCATAAACCACATCCAATAACACTTTTGATTACATTCTTTAGATTATTCTGCTAGTTTTGTTCAGTACAGTTTTTTTAAACTTACCATTCTGATCCATTGGCTTCCGCAGCTTGAAAGCCAGTGACACCAGTTAGAGAAGCCCCTCGAGCCTGCAGAGGAATGCAGAAAAAGGCCAGAAAACACAGAAAGTGTGAGAACAAAGGGTGAGATTAAACTTTGCTCACAGGGAAAAAATGCACACAAAACAAGTTTTGCATCATTCCAGCGGGGTGAAAGAAACTCCACAGCTTAGATAATGAAAAGTTTCAGATGAAGAAGATTTGAAAACATCTTTGGAAACCCTTGAGATGTAAAACTGACAACAGAAGAAAAAAGCCAAACTGTAAGACTGAAAAGGTAAATGCTACATTTTATGGAATAAAATAAATAAATCATACATTTCCTTCTCTATTTACATAAACTGGGATGTCGTACAGTTTTCCAGTGGACATAATTACATAACAATCTCACACAGACAGAATCAAGATGGTGGGTTAGGGTTTGAACAACCTGTAAAATCAGTGTAGAATGGAAATCTGTATTGCTCAATAGCCGGGCTTTTACTTTTCCCGCCTTTCTTGTGTTTACAGCTGGCTCAGCATTAGTAAAGACTGACTCAGCAGGAAAAACAACTTTCCAGTTATGTGTACATACCACCAGCCTGAGAAGCTGAAGCTTCAGAGTCAAAAATGTTTGTGGTGAAGTCGTTAACCTGCTTAAAGCAGGTGTCCAGCATGCTGCACTAAGCACTCAAGATTTAAAATATCAAAAAAGGTTATCAAACAAAAACGAACGCAGTTATCGGCAGATTAATTCTTGAGTTAGACAGGAAAACATGACATCGCTTTAAAAACTAAAAATCCTTCGACAGATTCGGCAGAAACAGAAATATACGAGGAAAGAAAAATAAAGAGAGAGGTGTGACTTGATTTAAATGTCTATGTCGATGGTAAATGTTCATTTTTAATATATACTTGCAGAACAAATTATGTATTTCAAGATTTGGGTTAATGAAACCTCATCTCAGAGGAACAAATCTGTCCCGGTTTCCTACAGAACTGTTTGACTTGTAATGATGTGCTGTTCAGCCACGAGTTTCATGAGCTGCTGGTGTTCTTGTTGAACAGATACAAAAATTTAAAATATTCAGTGAAATCTGAGACAAAATGTGAAAATCACACAAATGAGACAACTTTATAAAAAAGAAGGAAGAAAATCAGATGATCTATTTTTGTTCAGAGGTGAAGCTCTGACCACGCCATGGATACTTGAGTACCTACATACTAGAATAGTACATGTTTATTAATATAAAGTATGCATTGTATATTTTAACAAAGGACACACCCAGTGAACAAATACAAATGTTCATTAAAACTGAACACTTCATGAGGAATGAGCCCATTTGTATGGTGTAATAATCACTTCAAGATTTGCGATAAACAGTTCCAGACCATAGCCAACAACTCTGACATCTAGATTTATACAGCAGCAACCTCAAGTTCATGGTCATAAAAGCTGCTTAAGAGCATTTTTGTTCAACAGTATCTTCTAATCTCCCCCAGAACCACCCACCCACCCACCCATCTATCCACAAACATCCATCCTGTCCTCTTTGTGTATTTGTCTTGCTCCGCCAGGAATCATGAATAATAAAAGCTAAAAGACACAATCAGTGTAATGTGACAAAAAGGGTGGAAATAAAGAAAGAGAGCCTGCTTTGTGAGAAGCCACAGCTAAGATTTCAAACTAAATAAGCCCTCACGTGGAAATTAATTGTAAGCGTCCCCCTGCAGGCATTGCATAAACTCAGTTACACTCATTAAAATCTAAATGGTTGGAAATGTGATCTAAAATATGTGCAGTAACTACACCCCTGTCACTCAAGAGACAGGTGGAGCACTGATGTTGGCTGGTGATCAAGGTAAGTAGGTCTTTCTGGATTCCCAAGGTGACTCATGTGACTAAATAACGAAATAAATAGGAAAATATTCTAAATTTATGCCCTCATGTTTAACATTCATTGTTAGGTAACGTTTCGTGGAAAACGCACAGACGGTGACAGCAGGAAAAGGTCACTTCTCTGTTATTTACATTATTGTTTGGTAAATTACCTGGTCAGCAGCTGTTGGAAACAACGCTGACATTTAACGTTTTAGAGACCAAATTGTTTACGTTTTCTGTTTCCTAAATCATCCACGCGCGTCACGTTTGAAACACCAACTTACTTAAATGCGTATGCTGCTTCACCCAGAAACAAGAGGGGGGATCCCGAGAAAAGACAAAAACAGCCGCTTCAGTCTTTAAAAACTGTTGAATATCGATCCCGAACCTCACGGTAGAATATTTCTTTTGCGTTCGTGTGCTGCTTTTAAGCTAACCTATGCTAGCTTATCGATGGAAGTCACATCTGGCCAGCTCAAACGTTCACTTAAAAATAGGTGTTAGCTTTAGTAGCGCTAGACCTGTGTAATTGTACTGAGGAAAAACGTATTCAATGATACTTACGACAGAAGCGAGTGGCTGAAGGGCAAATAGTTCAGCATCGAACACCTTACCGATGATGTTGTGAGGACTGTAATGTTAAAGGGGTCGTTGCTACAGCTGCTGTTACTGTGGGCCTGAGCTGCAAGAGGCCCTCTGTCTCCATCTGCTGGTTTAATGTGGTACTACAATTAGTCAAGTTGCTTTTTTTATTGACTATTATTTATTACGGTATTTATAAACATTATATTAGTAATTTGGCTTATAAACACTTGTTTATATTTATTAGTTTTAATTGTTTTATTTTATTAATACCAGTCCTAGAAAGAGATCTCTATGTGTCAAAGGCGCTACAATTAGCTTATTGTTCATTTTGCTTTTGAATAATACGTAGCAATATTTTATTTTCCTCGGCGATCAGGAAAGTATTTTAGTTTGATCTTATTCGTATGATGATGCCCTTAGGAGAAAGTGCCTCTTTCTGAAAATATCCACAAAATACTCATTTGTGCAAAATAATTTAAGAAAGAAGTGTCGCTGAATGCAAAATGACGTTCGACAATGGAGACTATATACCAAAAACAGATGCTACAAAAGAAGGGCTATTGAGCTTTCTATGTGCAGACTTGTAGTCTACCCCAGGGGGGCAAAAATATAAATATTTTACTTTCAAAGGGTCCTGTAACAACTATGGCGCTAAACAAATAAATATAAAGAATTTACAATAGGATTCAAGATCTGTTTATTCTGATTTTGCTGGTATTTGCAGAAATACACAGGCTGAAGCAAAATGTAGTTTCTCACTAGCCTCTACAGTGCAATACTCGGTAAAAAAAATAAAAACATTTACAACCACAAATAAGGAAAAAATAGCTGTCCCATAAAGGAGAAAATTACAGTCATGCTCAGGGCTATATTATCACATGCACTCAGTAGTAGCAGACATCTCACATCATTGGGTCCGATGTGTTTGTTCGAGGGGTGTGTGTTGTGTTTTTACTATGTAGCTTTATTAATGTAGTTTCCTTTTCTTCACCTCTTCAGCCATCATCTCTTCAGTATTAATAATCCCAAGAGGACAAAACAAAGATTAGTCATTTATTTTTCTGCTTCATTTAAATGAGGCCAAAATGGTTTCACATGACCTACATGTAGTTCCAGCTTTCTGTCACTGGAGGGCGCCAAATCTTTCCTTCTCTTGTAGTTCAGAAGTTCAGAACCGATGTAGTTCTGACTTGTCGCCATGCACTAGACTAGAGCGTCAATACCCCTCCTCATTGATAGTCAATAAAAACTTGTGTAGTCTAAAAATCAAGACCAAACTTTGCAATAGCAAAAATATTTTGCTCTGCACTTCAGTATCTATTCAGGTATATATTTACATATTGAGGATGGCTTGCCAGCTAGGTCTTATTAGCGCATATAATTTTTATTTATTTGTTAAACAAACTCATAATAATCTGCATCAATGGAAAAGTAAAATTTTATTGGAAGGGTGACAAAAAAAGTATTATGAAGTGCGTGTTAATTTCATTTACCATAGGAACCCTCTAATGGTAATAATATGGATAAGTACGTTCTAAATAACTAATTCAAATTACAATAAAAAAGATTTAATATTTAGTGATTGTACTTACAAGGAATACATACATACAGCCACTTCATGTTAATATATGATAAATGACCCAAACTTGTATAGTGCCTTTCACACTACAATGTCCATCCAATCACACACAGGGAGGTTTTGATGTATATTTGCTGTAACATCATAGACTCAAAAACTGCAGATGGAAAAATGCCTGCAGAACACAGACTTGCATTGTCTGCTGCATAAATACTTTTTCCAGTTGGCAATAACTTCCATGTAAAGTGTATTACATCTTATACAACAGGTGGCAAAACAAACCTACTAAGATTTTCTTAACACTTCCTCCATAAAACTATTCATAACTTCATAAATTACTCATCGTGTTTTCTATGTATTTATCTGTTGGTTTTAATATATCACACATTTATATTACATGACCATTTAATACACACTTGTTTGAATTCTGTTTGGATTAATTAAATCTTCACATATGTCCTTTTTTCAGCCCCAGCCCACCATCTGAGAGTTCTCCAAGATTTCTTTGTAGAGCCAGCTTTGTGTGAACTCCTGACTCTTGTCCATCAACTGGAAAAGACGAAGATACTCCTCTGGGAACACGTGGCCTGTCAGGATGTCCTCTGGCAAGCCTAACTCTGACAACAGCTTGCTCCCACTGTCTGGTGACCAGAGACTAGATAGATAAAATAATACATATTAGGTGGAGCAGTGAAGAAATTAAAAGAAAGCTCTCATATCTTATTAATTAAAAAGTCTGTAAATCTACTTCTGCAATTAGTCATTTTATTTAAACTGCTTACTTGATTTTGTCGATGAGCTTGACCTTTCTCTTCGCCAAACACTGTTTGACCATCATCAACAGAGTTGAAGCGTTAGAGGGAGTAAGGCCCGCGGAGAACAGGTCCGCCCGAGGACGAAGACGCACCAGGCACAGGTGATCATTTGGTAGCTGAGGCAAGGACAAAGTAACATCCTTTAATTTATAGACCACTTATATTGTGTTTACATAGCTGCCATTTTTATTACCTTGCCCCTTTGACCAGATACACTCTGTCTTGAAGACACCACAAATGACTCCCAGGGTTCCTGCACGGATATGAGAAGGTTGACGAATCACTTTATGTTAAAAACAAGTAAGAACATAAGTAAAAGCAAAATCCCATTCACTTCAAATAATGTTCATAACACCTGCCATGGTTAAAAAAGTTTCATTGCAAACAAACATCAAACACAAATCAAATCAAAGCTTTATTTATAAAGCGCCTTCCGCAACCCTGTCAGGAAGCCCAAGGCGCTGAACATTAGGGCTGCAACAACAAATCGATAAATTCGATGAAAATCGATTACTAAAAGCATTGGCAACGAATTGCGTCATCGATTCGTTGTGTCGCACAACTCTCCCAAAAGCGCCCCCCCTTCCCGCCCGCAGAGCAAGTCAGATCAGCGCGAGGGAGAGCCGGCAGATCAGCGCGAGGGAGAGCCGGCAGATCAGCGCAAGGTTCGCGCTGCTGCGAACCGGTTCCGCCCAAGGCCGGATTAACTGGGCAATTGCCCAGGGCCCACGAACTCTAAAGGGCCCAGGGCACGAGCACAATACTGTATCTATAATTTCCCACTTTATGAGGACTATGGTGACCGTACGTTCCGTTTTCCCCGGACATGTCCACTTTTCACTCTCTGTCCGGGCGTCCGGACTGCGGGTTCTTGTATTGATGAAAATGTCAGGCTTTTCATCCAGGAGCAGGGATCGAATTATGAGGGAGCTGTATATCCTACACATCCAGGGGAGCCGGAAAAAAGTTTTCTATATTATATCATTTTTGGACTCTTTTGAGCAGAGAGCGGCACAGCGCATTGTTGCGCAGCGATCCAGGCAGCTGCTTCCAGCGCACGGTCTATTCTCAAAGTGGCGCAACCAAAAAACTATAATTAGCACACGATCGTTCATGTCTGCACATGTTCTCTATTTTCTGTCTTATTTGTGCCTGAAGCGCGCTACTGCGGAGCTCATCACCTGTGCTGTGGTGATGTCACCTCACACAGCATCGAAAACGCGCTCTGCGCTTTGCGGTCAGGAGATCCCTTTGATCTGCTCAAAAGTAACTGATGAGGTGAAAAGGTAAGAATCCAGGCAACAGATTTTCTGGAGAATTAAGAGGAGATGCAGGAAGATGAGAGACAAACAGGACAGGAAAATAGTTAAATAAAAACAAGAAAACAAAACAAAGTGTTGAAAAGTAAAATGTAGGTAGATTAATCTCCACTACACGTTTTTACCAGTAAAAAACAATAAGTTATACACATGTCATATTTATACATCTGATACAATTCAGATCACCTTCAAAACTCAGTCACACACCCAGGGCCGTTTCAAGACATTTTGGGGGCCAAGGCAAAATGCCTCCCCCACCCCCCCACCCCCATAACTGGGCTCCACAGAAGCCTCTGTGTAATTCATGCCCTCTCCAGTAGTGTTAGTTATACAGTGTTTATAAAAGCCCCTCAGACATTACTGACATCTTCTAATATTATCAGATGAAAAACTAAATTATCAGACATGCTGTCTCATCTACTTCTTTTCTAAACTTGCAAAAAGTAACAAAACCATTTGAAAGCCACTATTTGTGAATTCTCTGAAAGTTTCCATAGAGTGTGTGACAACTTATTTTTTCATTGATCCTATCGTCTAATCTCACAGCTGAAACAAGCATCCTTAATAATCTGTGCACAGGAAGCTTACCGATGCTGTAGTAAAACAAAAGGTATAATAATTTATTATTAATAAAACCTTGTTGCAGCACTAAAGCAGAAAAATTAGATTTTGCATTAAATATGCAAAATATTTACATATGAATTGTTTTAAAGCCCTTTTATTGGCAGAATCTAATATTAATTTAGTTCTTACAAAAAATGGGTCCCAACATGGTTTGTGTGGCGTTGCCATAGTGTGATGTCATAGGCACAGATCCCCTGTCCTCTTGTTTGGAAATGGAAATATGATCACCCTACATTAAACAAACTGTCCACCCGGGATTTTGCGCTGCACAGAGACGCTTCGCTGCCTATGACTTTGAACGTCAGTTGAGAGTCAGTCTCATGCAGACTGACCAATGAAGAGAGGGCCTCAAGTTAAGACCCTCTCCTCATTGGTCAGTCCACACGAGGTGGGTCAAAGGTTACCCTGAGCGGGTTACGTGTTGTCAGGCATTCAAGTATTGAGTATATTTACTGCATATTACAGTAAAATATTCTATATGTGACCACATTATGGTGATCCTTGGGTCTTGATGATGGAGCCCTTGAATATTGTTGCCCAGGGTACAACAAAGTGTTAATCTGGCCCTGGTTCCGCCGTCACATTCCCGCAGAAACTGGTTGATCACACCGGGGCCAGACTACTAGCATGTGGTTTTACAATCACAATGTCCTCGGAAGCAAAAACGCTTTTAAAAGGGAGGGAGGAGTCCTAACTGTTGCTGCAGGCGTGTTGTGTGAGAGTGCAGTTATATACTGGTTAATATATTTTTGGGTTCAGTTGCTTTCATGTGGCCTAATGTGAGTCTATTTGGGATCATTGGAATGATCAGCAGCATTTCTTGATGTGACTTTATGGCAGCTGCCCAGGGCATCATCGCAAGGAGGATGGCATTTAGGGCTGCAACAACGAATCGATAAATTCGATGAAAATCGATTACTAAAAGCGTTGGCAACGAATTGCGTCATCGATTCGTTGTGTCGCACAACTCTTCCAAAAGCGCCCCCCCCCCTCCCGCCCGCCGTTGCGCGCAGACCAGAGCAAGTCAGATCAGCGCGAGGGAGAGCCGCAGATCAGCGCGAGGGAGAGCCGCAGATCAGCGCGAGGGAGAGCCTGCAGACTTGCGCTGCTGCGAACCGGTTCCGCATTGTTGCGCTGCGATCCAGGCAGCTGCTTCCAGCGCATGGTCTATTCTCAAAGTGGCGCAACCAAAAAACTATAATTAGCACACGATCGTTCTTGTCTGCACATGTTCTCTATTTTCTGTCTTATTTGTGCCTGAAGTGCGCTACTGCGGAGCTCATCACCTGTGCTGTGGTGATGTCACCTCACACAGCATCGAAAACGCGCTCTGCGCTTTGCGGTCAGGAGATCCCTTTGATCTGCTCAAAAGTAACTGATGAGGTGAAAAGGTAAGAATCCAGGCAACAGATTTTCTGGAGAATTAAGAGGAGATGCAGGAAGATGAGAGACAGACAGGACAGGAAAATAGTTAAATAAAAACAAGAAAACAAAACAAAGTGTTGAAAAGTAAAATGTAGGTAGATTTATCTCCACTACATGTTTTTACCAGTAAAAAACAATAAGTTATACACATGTCATATTTATACATTTGATACAATTCAGATCACCTTCAAAACTCAGTCACACACCCAGGGCCGTTTCAAGACATTTTGGGGGCCAAGGCAAAATGCCCCCCCCCCCCCCCCCCAATAACTGGGCTCCCCAGAAGCCTCTGTGTAATTCATACCCTCTCCAGTAGTGTTAGTTAAACAGTGTTTGTAAAAGCCCCTCAGACATTACTGACATGTTCTAATATTATCAGATGAAAAACTAAATTATCAGACATGCTGTCTCATCTACTTCTTTTCTAAACTTGCAAAAAGTAACAAAACCATTTGAAAGCCACTATTTGTGAATTCTCTGAAAGTTTCCATGGAGTGTGTGACAACTTATTTTTTCATTGATCCTATCGTCTAATCTCACAGCTGAAACAAGCATCCTTAATAATCTGTGCACAGGAAGTTTACCGATGCTGTAGTAAAACAAAAGGTATAATAATTTATTATTAATAAAACCTTGTTGCAGCACTTAAGCATAAAAATGAGATTTTGCATTAAATATGCAAAATATTTACATATGAATTGTTTTAGAGCCCTTTTATTGGCAGAATCTGATATTATTTTAGTTCTTACAAAAAATGGGTCCCAACATGGTTTGTGTGGCGTTGCCATAGTGTGACGTCATAGGCACAGATCCCCTGTCCTCTTGTTTGGAAATGGAAATATGATCACCCTACATTAAACAAACTGTCCACCCGGGATTTTGCACTGCACAGAGACGCTTCGCTGCCTATGACTTTGAACGTCAGTTGAGAGTCAGTCTCATGCAGACTGACCAATGAAGAGAGGGCCTCAAGTTAAGACCCTCTCCTCATTGGTCAGTCCACACGAGGTGGGTCAAAGGTTACTCTGGGCGGGTTACGTGTTGTCAGGCATTCAAGTATTGAGTATATTTACTGCATATTACAGTAAAATATTCTGTATGTGACCACATTATGGTGATCCTCGGGTCGTGATGATGGAGCCCTTGAATATTGTTGCCCAGGGTACAACAAAGTGTTAATCTGGCCCAGGTTCCGCCGTCACATTCCCGCAGAAACTGGTTGATCACACCAGGGCCAGACTACTAGCATGTGGTTTTACAATCACAATGTCCTCGGAAGCAAAAACGCTTTTAAAAGGGAGGGAGGAGTCCTAACTGTTGCTGCAGGCGTGTTGTGTGAGAGTGCAGTTATATACTGGTTAATATATTTTTGGGTTCAGTTGCTTTCATGTGGCCTAATGTGAGTCTATTTGGGATCATTGGAATGATCAGCAGCATTTCATGATGTGACTTTATGGCAGTTGCCCAGGGCATCATTGCAAGGAGGATGGCATTCATTTACTTTTGTTTTATTTGGTATTTTTTCAGTCATTTTTGGAAATAGTGATCAATTTTGATTAATTCACAGCCTATGTTTAATTACATTTAAAATAAATGTCAACAGATGAGATCAAAGAAAACAGATGAGAATTGCCCTTAAGCCGTTTAACTTGGACCAAGCATTTTAGGTCACAGATAGATGTAGCTTAGGGTCTCTGTCTATACACCTTATAAGACAATTTAGGTGATGGCATGTTGTTTTTCTGCTATTGAACTGTTTTCTAATAATGTTGTGTTAAATAGAGTGAAGGAAGGAGAGAAATAACGTTTCCCTAGCAGTTTTTAAAAATTTCCCCATGTAATCCGATTAATCGATTAATCGTGTCGAGACCCCATCCGATTAATCGATTATCCAAATAATCGTTTGTTGAAGCCCTAATGGCATTCATTTACTTTTGTTTTATTTGGTATTTTTTCAGTCATTTTTGGAAATAGTGATTAATTTTGATTCACAGCCTATGTTTAATTACATTTAAAAATTAGTTGTTTGACATCCCCAGTTATAATAAATGTCTACAGATGAGATCAAACAAAACAGATGAGAATTGCCCTTAAGCCGTTTAACTTGGACCAAGCATTTTAGGTCACAGATAGATGTAGCTTAGGGTCTCGGTCTATACACCTTATAAGACAATTTAGGTGATGGCATGTTGTTTTTCTGCTATTGAACTGTTTTCTAATAATGTTGTGTTAAATAAAGTGAAGGAAGGAGAGAAATAACGTTTCCCTAGCAGTTTTTAAAAATTTCCCCATGTAATCCGATTAATCGTGTCGAGACCCCATCCGACTCATCGATTATCCAAATAATCGTTTGTTGCAGCCCTACTGAACACAGCATTTTAATAAACTCTGAAGGTTTTGTAACTCGCTCTTCCAATTCGTACCTTGTGCAGAAGTTCAACATCACACGCCATTTGCCAGAGGGAGCCAAAGGCTCTGTAGGACTTCATGTCACCAGGACGTGACGCCAGTTTCTGACGACAGAAATAACTGGAGTGAATATTTTACACTAATATCAAAGCAGTGATTCATACAGGTGATCACACTTATCTCCCTCAGTGTCACCCACCAGTTCCTCTGAAATAACACTAACAGAGAGACCACAAGCGCTCCCAACTACTGATTCAAACAGAACATTTAAATGAGTAGATTTTCACCTCGTATTCCCTCTCACTAATAAAGAGGTTGAGCTCAACTCTTCCATATCTGTAGACAGACAATCGCTCAAACAAAGCATAAACCATCTTCAACAGCATCCCACGGTCCCTTCGCTGGGGCAGGATCCCCACCACCTTCACTGGGATATCTGGAGAGAGGCACAAATGAAGATACTCACACAAAAGCCTGGTCTCCTGCAATGCAACACAGTGAACTGATTAAAGAAGACAGTGTTACAGTGAAAACTGAGTGATTAAATTCTCTTGTTCATTCTAAATGCCTTTATCTAAAAAAGAGAACTGCCACAAACGAAATATTTTTGGAATGCTCAAGATTGATTAGGATTTATAGCATTGCTATTTGCTAATGTCATGTGTTGTGGAAGGAAAATGGTGGAATTTTCTCATTTAAAAGCTAAAAAGAGTTTGTGAGGCTTTGATTTGTCGCTGTGATTTATTTCATTTCTCACCATCAGTCCACGAGGCCTCAGATATTCCCAGGTCAGTGAAAAGTTTGTCAGCGAACATAGTTGGAGGCTTCACAGTGCCGCTGCCGATGGGATCTAATTTGAAGAAGTCACAGTGAACCACTTCCAGTTGACCATCAAGACGTGCCTCCAGCTCCTAGAGCATGTAAACCTCGTTAATGTTCTTAACAATACAAAATATTCATGTTGTTAAAATGGTGTTGGGATAAAAATCAAATATGATGAACAGTCAAATGTTTGTTTGATGCATTAAGCTAAAGTTTTGTACCTGCAGATCATGTAAGAAGGATTTGTCACCTTCAAGAGCAACAACTCTCTGAGCACCGGCGTTTAATAGTGTCCTTGTCAAAACTCCTGGACCTAAAAAGGACACATATAGAGATTAAAAGGCAATTTCACTACCAAGAACACTACACACACTTACTTGTACACATTTTTATGATTTGTTTGTCTGTCTAAAGCCGGTAGAACCGTATAATCTAATAATACGTACCTGGGTTACATTCAAAGATAACAGTTTTACTGTCCTGTAGGTCAGGTCCTAAATGCTGGGCTATCACATTGGCCAGATGTGGATCCACAACAAAGTGTCTGATTGTTTTACAAGCCTGAGCACGTCGTACATTCTCCTCTACTTCCCTAAGATCCAAGTAGTCATCCTGACACAGAAGACGAAACTGGCCCTGTAAAAAAACAAAACAAACATTAATGCAGCATACTCAATTAAATTGTAGTTTATATTTTTGAAGCAAATCATATATCTGATATTAATTGTAAAGAGCCTAAAATCTCTCCCCTGATTTGTTCCAGTACATCTGAATTCAGTTAAAAAATCAATGAATCCTCCCCATAACTAAAACTCCACTGAGAAACAGATATTAAATATATAAATGTACCTGTACAGCTGCTGCAGAAAGTTTTCTATGTGTCAACGCTGATGTCCTCTCTGAGCGTGGCTGTTGGGAACTTTGACCCAGTGAAGGCCGACCAGGGCCAAGAGAGTCTAAGCTGTAGGCTCTTTTATGAAGTACGGGAATACCAGGAATGGATCCCACTGGGGTCAGTGCTGCCTTTCGAAAACAGGATCTACTTCTGATGGTGTGGCAGCAAGATGTACGCAGCACCAGTTCCATCACTCTACAGATCTGGGTGGACATTGTTGCCAGTAAACATGAAGCAGAACTAGAAAGGAGAGACTTGGATATCCGGGGACCTCTATAAGAGGTGACTGCCAAAGAAAATGAGAAGAAAAGGGGACGTGAAAGAAGTTACTTGCTGTCAAAGTTAAAGCCATCGTAAAAGCACAAAACACGTGGTGGTACCATCCAGGACATACAATACATGGAGAATTGTTAAATAGCACTAATGCCATATATAATGAATATACTTAAAAGAAATTTTTAAAAACAATTTAACACTTCAACAGATATTTTGGTAAACAAAGTATGATCAACTACGGTATCTGTTGTAAAGAAGTGGGTATGTGGAAACTCACTTATTTAAAAAAATCCTATTTTCCACAGTAAATGGTCAATATTTACTATGGTTGACACATTGAAAAGAAACAGAAAACAACCGAAAGCTCCTTGAGTTAACGTAAAAACCCGATGTCAACGTTGTTAGCCTTCTGGCTAGCCATGTACGTCACTAGTCTGACTGAAGAAATACCGATTTTATTTACAGAAAACCATAAATACCTTTGTGGGGATGGTCATATATTTCCAGATTTAATAGTATCGAGTAGATAAAACGGCGTATTGTGTATGCAGTCGATGATTAATCTCAGTGACATTGAGCCCACCGCATCCCTGACCCACTGCGAGCAAACGTTTAGCAACTCGCGTGGTAAAGCCTCGTGCGCTTATGATTGTCGTCATCAACTAGCGACAACTCTGAAAATTACAGGAAGTCGTTTCGCTAAAAAAATAAAGAAATAAAAGTAGGTTTAATACAATTCGCTTACTGTGAGAATACAAATTGCCGAAAACATTTTAATTTAAGAGTATGTTTTTCTGTATCTGAAGCATTGCGTAAAAATACAAATCCAAGCGTGTGTTAACATTTAGTATAAATGTCGATGGTTAGCACATTAGCGTATTGCTACGGAAGTAGACGAGGCAGCGCTGATAAAAGCGCAGCCCCCGACTGCACAGTTGTCGTCTGACAGCGACAGCACGGAGGTGTCTCAGCTTCTTTGTGTGTCTGACTTTGTGCTGCTACTATGGCTCGAGTAGAAACATCTCCTAGCCGACCGTACCATCTGATCATCTTCGGAGCCACTGGCTTCACGGGCCAGTTTGTGGTGGAGGAGGTGGCCCGGACAGTGTCTGAAGGTCCAAAGGGGAACTTGAAATGGGCCGTGGCAGGCAGGAGCAGACAGAAGCTGGAAAAAGTTCTGGAGCAGGCCGCTGGAGCCCTCAGTATGTATCTGATCAGTGCAATTTGTTGTGCATATTATAGCAAACGCTTTGATTATTTTGTTCCAAGTCAGAAGACACAGGAATACTGTTGTTGGTTTTGCAGGTCTTGTCTCAGATGAGCATTGCTTAACTCTGGCTCAAGGTGATGAAACCATTAAATTGGGCTTGGGCGACCAGTTGGACACGACTTTGACCTCTAGTACCTAAAGTCCAGATGGCAAAAAGAAAAAAAAAGTAACAATCAATGATTTATTAATATTTCTATATAAATAACACATTTTCAAAGAGATGGAAGCAGAGGAGTTATTTGTTGCATTTAAATCTATATAAATGCAAATATGGACGGTAAAATGTAATTTACTCCTCAGTCTGATAGTACTTCACTCCTGTAAAGATTAATGGTGTCCTCTCTGTGTGTATTCCTAATTACCATTACTGTGGTGAAACAGATCTTGTTAATAAAGTTTTCCTGAGATGCACATTGCCCTTTCCCCGTTCAACAGATTAGTTCAGATTTTTTTAAAATGTCTTTTAGTTTGGTAAGGTTGGTCAGCACTTTATTTCAACTAGATGAAAATTTAATAAATCATACATCGATATATTAAACTATTGACTTATTGTATTCGTAGCAGACGTGAAGAGGCTGCACTTAAATCAAAAACTTGAATTGCTTAAAACTTAAAAAAAATAGATTTTTGTTCTGTACTGGTCATTTGAAAATTATCATTTAAGGATTTGATAACTGACTAAACTTGAAGTCATATGATTTACCTGCAGACAAAGATGGAATATTATTTATCTGAGCTCATAATACTGTTGTATACTGAAATCATAAGCAGATTTATCTGACTTTCTCCTGAAACTTTTTTTATTATATATTTTTGGGTGAGCCAATTAACTGCAGTAATATTTTAATCTCAACAATGGTGATAAAAGTTATGACTCGTATTGTAAATTTTTTTACCAAGGCCTATGTAAGATGTGGTGATTCTCACTTTTTTTTTTTTTGCAAAAGGTTACTGAATAACTTGTATAATTTGTTACAGTTTTCACATCACTATAGAATTACTCATCTGCTAATAGATTTAATAAATAACTTAATTTTAACTCATAACAGAACCAAAAATCACAAATATTATGACAAAATGCACTAATTCATTGAGAGGCACATCTCTAAACATGGAAACACCGGGTCAAGATCATGGAGCTGTTCTCGTGTTGTCTTTGTAACAACATTTTCCAGAGGATTAGATGATAATTCTCTCGTCCCCTCCGCTCTGGCTTTCTCTGATGTGCAACAGCTGATGGAACATACCGGCTCACCGTATAATCTCCCATCCAAAACAGCAGCCACAGCCTGATGGACCGCTTGGTCAAACCACACAGAGCTTTGATCTTATCTTGTTGAATCAAAAATGTGTCCTTTGCATTTCAGACATTTCTAACTGTTACAGCCACATTGTTCAAATAACTTGTGTTGCTTGTTTAAGGTCTTCTACAAGGTCTCAGAACTTTTTTTTTTTAAATTTCATTTACATTTTAATATTCTTTTACAAGGACGATTGTTCTCTACTAGATATTCTCCCAAATATGCTGATTTATTTTTTGTCTTGGGATCTTTCTTATCTGTCGGAGCATCTCTTGATTGATATATGCAAAAATGTTCATGTCAAAACTCTGATTTCATTCATATTTCGTCACTTGCCTATAAGTGAGAGACTGAATGTGTTTTGTGTTTGACAGCAAATTTAAACCGTCTTGGAGCCAATTAAATAATTTTTTAGATTTGAACAGTTGCAGATTCATGAAAATGCAAAAGAAAAACATTTTTTTAAGTGATAGCAGCATAAAGACAACATTCCGTTTAAAGTTACAAAATGGTAACGTACAAGCTCTCATTACCTTTTAAGAGTAAATTTCACATTCTTCGGCATCCCTTAAGTCCCATTAGTCATCACACACTGGTGAACATGTCTGCACTTAACCCATCCCCTGGGGGAGCACTGAGCTGCAGCGATGGCTGCGCTCGGGAACTATTTGGTGGTTTAACCATTGGGTCCAATTTTAAAGTATTTGGTATGACCCAACCAGATTTGAACCCCAATCTCTCGATATTTAATATACAAGTAAATATTTTGGTATGTTTCTAGACCGCTGTAAATTTGAGTTGCTAATATTTTAAGGGAGACCATGCTTTAATTTTATTAGTTTTCTTATTGGGATTTAGCTCTAATTACTGTGAGATTGGGACATCTGCAAACAGAAGTGATGTTGGTTTTCATGTTCAGCAATTCATTAAAATTGTTCATCTTATGTAAAATCTGATGCAAACCACTTCAGAGACACTTAGCAGTCTGCATGTGTGTGAATAGATAGAAGTTTATTTATTGAAACCACATTTAGAGCATCATTCAAAATCGCCTGAGTTTTATAAGCTGCAGTAATTATGCAGTGCAGTTTTCTGAAAATGTAAATGTACGAATGAGTGTGTTTATGTGCTGACAGGTAAGCCAGAGCTGAGGACACAGGTGGACATAATTGTTGCAGATGTTGGAGAACCCGACTCCCTGGCAGCCATGTGCAAACGAGCTGTGATTGTGCTCAACTGTGTTGGACCTGTAAGTCGACGACCGCATTGAAAAGTGCCGTAAATTTAACTTTTTGTTTTACTTTTTCTCCCAACAGCGACTTGTGGGCATCTCCTGACTTAAAAAGCATCAGTTGTCTTTTCTGTTGATCCGGTCAGTGTTTTTCTACATGCCCTCATGCTGCAGCCTTCTTGGGCAGCGGAAGCTGCTGACTTGCGTCTCACAATAAACTGTATTGTAGAAAGGTCAGAACTGAGGCAGTTTTCTTCACCAGTTTGGTGCTGGTGGTTCTTGTTTCAGACTTCTCCCTCCACAGTAATGACCTGCTGTCACACAAAGCAACACTCTGTTTGAAACTACAGCACAGAACTGAAACCAAAGAAAATAGGACACACATCCACATTGTTTTTCCTCTTGCTGACATTTCTAATATAATAATTGATGTGCATTTTTTCATCACTAGTGGGGATTAAAAACGGATGGTTACCCCAGTATGTGTAGATATGAGTATCCTTCCTCATTTGAAAATGTGGAATCAGACCTGAACCATATTGTGCATCTTTGTGTTTATAGTACAGATTCCACGGCGAGTCTGTTGTCAGGGCATGCGTGGAGAACGGAGCGCACCATATCGACATCTCTGGAGAACCACAGGTATGAATTGGTCTTTGAAAGTGTTCTAGATCAACTATTTCCCCATTGGAAACTGCTCTTTGAGCCTCCATTCATCACATGAAAATGTGTTGGGGGCTCACACACTCAACACAACCCCATTATAAAGGCCTTAAATGGAAAGAATGGTTTGCCCCGCCCATGAATATTAACTCATTAACTGCCCTTGATGACAAAAGTTGTCATTTGTTTTTTTTACTGTGTGGGCTTCAGAATGAGCCCCCGCACCATGAGAACAAACATCATAGCTCTAATGCCGATCTTCATCCGTGTACGTCACACGTCACGTGATCAGGAAGCAGAAAATCCATGTGTTAGGAGATCGTTTTGGGCCACTTATGTTAAAAAAAAAGTAAGACGCGAACTGGAAAAGCTTCTGTCAATCACAATTCGACAACAGATTATGAAAGAACGGATAACGCTCGAAATGTGCCGATTCCTCCTGATTCATTCAAAGTCTGGATATTCTCAGTACATCCTGAATCATTACGTGTGTACACCGACATTTTTCACCTTAAGTTTTCCTCTCATTGAACAAAGGTCATTAGCAGTAGCCAAGGCTCTGTGGCCCATACGAATTTACATATTAGCATAGTAAACCAGGCCATACAATAGACGGTCCAACCTGCCTAAATTCAACAACAAGAAGATACACGTGGTTTTGATTTCCCCTTTAACTTGGGTTGTCTTTGTTTGGACAGATATAAGATTTATTCAGTTTTCATGTAGAAGATACAGAATTTCTTTTTTCCAGTGTGTTACCTTTTTTAAATACAATGTAAGCAACGTCAGGCCTGCTGCCCAAAGACACTGTGTGGATGGTATCATGCAGCTGTCCCGACATTCAGCTTTGAAACCGTGTGTTTGGATTAAATTGGAGACCTGCTGGGTTTTGTGCTGTAGCCTGTTCAGATAACTTGCCTCTAACTGGGCCACATGACAGCAGCTGCTTTCTCAGCATCAGATGCTGCTTTGTGTGAAGTTTTAACTCCCTTAAACCTGACTTAGGAATAGCTCACTTCTTTCATCACAACAGAGCTGCTCTTTTTCAAGGGTACATTTTTATTTGACAATTTCCCTCGTAAGAGTTGTAAGTACTGTTACGAAAACATAAAATCTGAGTTTAATTCAGTATAAAAAACTCACGTGTGTTTTATGTTGGTTGGTTGTTTAATCAGTTTCTGGAGAGCATGCAGTTAAACTACAACAGCCAGGCTGCTGAGAAAGACGTGTACATCATTGGAAGTTGTGGGTTCGATTCCATTCCTGCAGACATGGGAGTCCTCTACACCCGAGACCAGTTTAAGGGTATACACACACACACACACTTAGACACATTTTTAGTCTACAATGAGCTTCAAAATAAAAGTTAAGTTTATTGAGAAGCTTAATTTTTGTTTTACTGTGATGTCTGTAGGTACCCTGACTGCTGTTGAGAGCTTCCTGACTGTTTCCTCAGGACCTGATGTATGTCACTACATTACCCATAATTCCACAAATCCCAACAGCTTGTTGATTCTTGCAGATTCCTCTGTGTTCTTTTCTGTTTTCATTTGCAGTTGTTTCTATAATTTCACCCATAGTTTAATTTTTTTAATCATTTCCGATGCCCCCACACGTCTCATCTGTGTTCTACCATTATGCATGGTCTTCAGGGTGGCTGTATCCATGACGGCACATGGCAGTCGGCCATCTACGGTCTTGCCGACCGCCACAAGCTTTCGAGTCTGAGGAGGAAGTTTAATCACAAACCTCTCCCCACTGTTGGCCCAAAGCTGAAACGCAGGTACATAAAGCTCCTAACATCCTCCTCAGAAACGCTACAACCCATGTGGGCTAAAAAACTTGAGCCAATTTTAATTTCTTTGTGTATTTTTTATTGAGTCTGATTATTAATTCTTGAGGATTCCTGGTCTTCATTGGCTATTTGTTCCACTTATTAACAGAATAATTATAAAACTTTACTAGCAGGCTGTTGCAAAGGTGTGATTAGTTTTGATTTCTCAAGTTGCATCTACACAAATGTCCAAAATAACATTCAGACAAGTGGAAAAGATGATTTCCATTTTCAATACATGCCGTGTTTGCTAAAAATGAGAAAACTAGACAAATATCAGATAAAAAGGAAAGTATATGTACATCAGCAGCTACCACAAGAGCTGCTGATCATCTTCTACACTGCTGCAGTCGAATCCATACTTTGGTCATCCATCACTGTCTGGTTTGGGTCAGCCACAAAAATGGACAAATGCAGACTACAGCGTATTATTATTAAAACAGCAGGAAAAATCATTGGTGCCCAACTGCCCTCTGTCCAGGAACTGTACATCAGCAGGACCAGGAAAAAGGCAGTGAATATTGTCCAAGATGCCACACATCCTGCATCTACTCTCTTCCATCTCCTCCCATCTGGCAGACGCTATAGATCATTGTACACAAAAACCACCAGACACAAGAACAGTTTCTTTCCTTCAGCCATTTCTCTCCTGAATCTGTAGATTATTTTACCTTCCTTTTACTATAGTTTTTAATACTTAATCTGTGTGTGTGTGTGTGTGTGTGTGTGTGTGTGTGTGTGTGTGTGTGTGTGTGTGTGTGTGTGTGTGTGTGTGTGTGTGTGTGTGTGTGTGTGTGTGTGTGTGTGTGTGTGTGTGTGTGTGTGTGTGTGTGTGTGTGTGTGTGTGTGTGTGTGTGTGTGTGTGTGTGTGTGTGTGTGTGTGTGTGTGTGTGTGTGTGTGTGTGTGTGTGTGTGTGTGTGTGTGTGTGTGTGTGTGTGTGTGTGTGTGTGTGTGTGTGTTTTTATTCTCATTTATTATGGTTGTTGTATGTTTTAGGGAGCGAACATCTACCGAAGACAAATTCCTTGTAAATGTAATTTTACTTGGCCAATAAATCTGAAATCTGATCAAAGTTAGTTGATATTTTGTCTCGTGTCCTTTTGCAGAGGAGCACTGTTCTTCAGTAAAGAGATCCAGCAGTACGCTCTACCCTTTATGGGGTCGGATCCCGCCGTTGTGAGAAGAACACAGCGCTTCCTGTCAGAGGAACATCAAGACACACCAGTCAGTCATCATGAAAAACCCTTTTCTGAACTATCTCAACATTTTATTTAGGACCACTCTTTCAGCCATCTTTAGGCGTTTTGTCTGTCAGATGAAGATGTTGGTGACAAACGCGAGTTCTGCTCCCTGTTGACTTTAACCACAGGTTCAGTACGGAGCTTATGCTGGAATCGGCGGAATCGGGAACGTTATCAAGTTGATGTTTGCTGGCATGATGTTCTGGTTTTTAGTCAAGTTCAGCTTTGGACGCAACCTGCTCACTAAGGTAAAAAAACAAAAAAAACAAGGAATGCATGAAGTCAAATGTCATCTAGCCTTTGATTCTTCAGCAGATCAAAAACAAATTTGTAATGTTTATCATGCTGATTTTGTTTAGTACCCAGAGTTCTTCTCATATGGATTCTTCACCAAGGCTGGACCCACAAGAAAACAGGTAAAAACAAGAACATATTTTAGAAAATGGCCACAACGTTACACTTGTTAAAAATTATTTGCAAACCAAAACAAATTTTTATCTTTTCTGTTAGATGGAGGCTTCATCCTTCCAGATTTCCTTCCATGGTGAGGGTTATACAGAGGATCAGGACCCCTCCAAGGGCAAACCCAACGCCAAGATCCGCACACTAGTTCAGGGACCAGGTAACTGGGAATAAAAGCTTTTAATCTTCTCTGACTGGGGTAAAAACATTCGTCTTTAAAGAGTAATGCTCATTAAATTATCTCTCGTCAGAATGTGGTTACGTGGCCACGCCCATCGCCATGGTGCAAGCTGCTCTGACGGTTCTCAACGAACCCTCAGCTTTGCCGAAGAAGTGAGTTCGTACCAACTTCTAATTCACGTATCTTTTATGTTATTTTCAACATTTCTACTTAAGTATCAGTAGCAGATGTGGCTCAGAGGTTTAGCTGATGTAGGAATTCCAAATCTCAGTCCTGCAGTGTCACAGCCTGGCAGGCCAGCCTTTACAAGTCAATATGTACAAAATAATAATAATAATAAAATAGGCTAGCAGTTTCAGGCACTTATGGACTAAATTCATTTTCCATTCATATTTTTAGGGGCGGAGTCTACACTCCAGGAGCTGCTTTTGCTAAAAGCACATTCATCGACCGCCTCAACAAACATGGCATCCAGTTTTCTGTCGTCTAAACTTTCTCTCCTCCTCCTGCTGCTGCTGTACTCCTTTTTCTGAGCACTAATTTTACAGAATAACCAGTGGTGAGTTTTCACCTTTAGAAGAAATATAAGTGTTGTGTTGAATTCCAGAATGTAGGAGTTTTCTGGATTAGTCGAACCGTCCTCCAGGCGCAGCTGCACGGTTAACACTCTGCTCGTAAAACAGAAGCACAGCTGTCGTAGCGTTTCCTCACCAGAGAAACTGTTTACTCTGCATGATTCTTTGCTAAAGTGATTGCTGCTAATAAAGATTTCTCTACAAATTTGGGTTTGCTTCATGTTTCTTAATAGACAGCAAACTATTTTCCTTTGTCTAAAATTGTTTTAAAAATGAAACAATGTTTCATATTAAACTAAACTAAATTAATTCTTTTAAGCTTGTTTTGATGAATAAAATATTAATTTATTCCTTTTAAGGTAGTATGTTTAAAGGGAAATGTTACGTAAACATTGGGACTTTCTCAGGTCCAATTTTATCTTATCTTTAGTTCATAATCTACAGATTTATAGTGGATGATTTAGTAGACTGAGAAACGGCAATACAGCCTAAAAGAAAATATCTACAGATTAAAAACACCTCCGATTTGACTTTCACAGGTAAATAAATCAGACAAGCTGTTTACATGAACATGCTTTTCTGTTAAAATCCTGACTGCTCAATTATTTTTCATGGTCTAAGGTCCAATAACTGCACACCCTGCTGCAGTTTAGTAGGTTTAACTTATTTTCTGATGTGAATCATATCTGAGCATTTTAACATTTCAAGCTTTTTGTCTGCCTCAAATCGGCAAAGAAGTTTTTTTGTCGTTAGTCCACATCATTCTAAATAATGTCACTTGTACACATCTATTGATTAAACCTAAGAAAGGCCCAGCCTTTAAATTTCCTATCTGATGAAGATTGTTTAATACAAAGAATTAGTCTGGGTTATGATCACGCAGGCGGTTGCTGCTGGTTTGGCAATATAAAAAGGGTTCAAACTACTCTATATAGTGCTTGGCAAAGGTATACTGGATCTGTTGTTGCCTAGCAACAAATAAAATAATAAAATACTGAAGGGCACTTTTAAAACCAACACTGGGCTATAAAAATAAACATATCCAGTCAAGGCCCCAAGGTAAATGGGTTCAACATTTCGGATGTAGCTTGTGTGCTACATGATTTAAATCAATTTCCCTCTGGGATTAATAGTTTTTAATTGAATAGAATTTAGCTAACAGTTCTTTACCAAATATTACCTAAAGTTAGTTGCCATAGTGACACGGTTTAAAATGCACAATTCAAATTAAATTAAAAATCCAATAAAAAGATAACGTAACAAAATACAGTAGAACATTTTATTAACTCATAAAAATACTCTTGTAAAGAACACATAAAAATTTTCTCCCCTTTTGACATTTTGATCCAAAGTTTGTGCATGTTTTCGTTTTTACACATGGCTGATGAGTCAGAACCAGTTTTGCTTCAGGATTTCTGGTTCAAACTGTCTCTTGGTTCAGCAGCTGGTGAGAGTAGACCATATCTTCATAGTGGTACTTCCCTGTTAAAGCCATGATGGCGTCGTAGCTCCTGATTCTACTTAAAACCTTCAGTTGTTCAACCACTGCAGACCTGCAGCAGAGACAAATGCGTTTAAAAGGGAGGAGAAAAAAATTTAATGTTTGCATGAATTTCACTTCTTTAAAGTCCACATGCGATTACTACCTGGTGTTTGGGTCCTGGGGAGGCTGCTGTTTGCAGATGCTGTGCACTTTCTGTACTAGGTAGTTTCTGAAACTCTGAAGCTGAGGCGGACAAACAGTTTCTCCTTCAAACCACAGAACAGGCAGACATTCTGCAATCTGAAAAAACAGACAGAAACAAAACATTAGTAAGAAAGTCTAAGAAAAAGCATTACAATTAAAGAAATCATTCAAAATACCTTTTGGCATGCGGAGGCAGCACTACTGCCGGAGAGCGTCTGACTGCACAATGTGATCATCAGGTAGCGGTTCAGAAGTTTGTCCAACATTATTTCTTTTAAAACAGACTCGGGAAGCAGCAGATCCCACTTTCCCATGTTCCTTAGCAGCTAAAATATAAGAAACACACAACATCTCTGATTAAAATGCAGCAGGTTTGACCTTTTTACACATGGAAAGACTCTTTATTAGAGGGAGTACTTTCACAGCTGTCCAGAACTGCTCGTCCCTGAAACGGCACTGAGGAGACGAGCTTTCCTCTAAAAGTCTAGAAAAACAACAAACAAAGTGTGACAATCAGTGTGGCAAACTATGATGATATGATAATCAATATTATGATCTTTCCTCAGCAAAGATCAACACTGAGGTAGGAATAATCAACTTTTCCCCCCAAGAGACATTAAAACATTCATTTAACCTAAATACAGCTTCTAAATTCACTGACTTTTTAGGATACAGAGGAATAAAGACATCTTCATCCACACAGCTCCTCAGGCTCTGGATCACAGCCTCAATGAAGCCCTGAATGAGACAAATCCACACAGGACATTCAATCATCTGAAAATATACCTTGTATAAAAACCTAAAGTGATGCTCTGTTTTAGAACATTATGTTGCAGATCGGTTACTTTTGCATCTAAAAGGCATCAAGTACAGGTACAAAAATTCTGCAGACAAAAGTGAGATTAGGTTTGTCTTTACAAACTGTTTGTTGGCTTTACCTTAACCGGTTTACTCTGCTCTCCTTCAAAGATGGAATAATCCTCCTTCAGTCGGTGACAAACATCAGACAGACAGGACGACTGTTGGTCAGACATGGGGTCCCACACCAGCTCCACGAACGCTGCACAAACGCACACACAAGGTCACTTAGTAGTAAAAGTGTAAAAAGCAGAGGTACTCAGAGCTACTTTTTTTTTTTTTTACACATTTCTAAACCTTAAGTACTGCAATTTGATCAAATAATTTAAAACTAAAGCAGACAGCAAAATAACAGAAGCGGTTCAGTGACTGGCTTCTGAAATTCTGACTTTGATTTTATTTTAGTTTACGATTTTCACAGAAAGTTTCGAGCTGCATCCTGGGAAAAGTGCTGACATTGGTTAAAAATGTTGGCAAAAGGAGATCTGAGGCACTCAGGAGATACAAAAATAAAAAGTCTTTATTAGTACATGGCTCAAATAGTTAAAACATAAATGCCAATATTTATATTTTTAATTATTTGAGCCATGTACTTATAAAGGCTTTTTATTTTTGTATCTCTTGAGTGCCTCAGATCTCCTTTTGCCAACATTTATGTGGATCTCTTGGCTGAAGAGCACCAGTGAGAGCACCAGATAACATTTCTTACACCCCTGCAGCACTTCCAGCATTTTTTCTATTTTCATTAGTTAAAAATAGTTTCTGGTGTGGACGAGGTACAATGTGGTTTATACGAGATGACATATTTTGTGTACGAGATAATATCTGGTGCAGACAAAATACTATCCGGTGGGAAATGGAGAACTTCTGGTGCAGTCGAGCAAACATCTTGTGCAGATACATATCTGGTACATACGAGATATGTTTTCATTTGTGTGAACAAGTGCAGGTGTGTGTGTTACCGGTTATTTTAGGCAGGAGGGATTTTTCGATGACATTAGAGAGCGTCTGCCTGTCTGTCTGCTCCAGCTCCTCGTGGTCATGGCCATGACAAAATGTCTCCACTGCTGTGAACCATGGGAGGTTTTCAAAGTCTCCATTGGTGTCCTGGGAGAAAAACATCAGCGTGTAAAGACTTGCTCTGTGCATTTCTGACTGAGTGTTCATATTTAAAGCTTTACTTTTAAAGGGTTCCATGCCAGCAGCTGATGTCTAATGATGGGATTCAGCAGCTTGGGCAGACACAGAGAGATGTAGGCATTGTGGTAGGACTCTGAATAAGATCTTCTCCATTCTTCAAAGCGAGACAGAATCTTTTTAACATCGCAGAAGTCGTCTTGGACATCAGAAAAGACCAGCTGGGACCTAGACTGGATATCAGCTATTGAGACAGCAGAGTAATGTAAGAGTGTGTTAAAATTTTATTTAAATTAATTTAGGTTGTTAATTTGAACAACAGTAAAACTTTGAATAAACCATAAAAACACAAGATTAATTTATTGTTCATTTAGTCATATCATGCAAAATCCATTATTTGGTGCTTTTGACCATTTTACTTAATTCTCTTATTAAAAAGAACCCCAAAGTGGATTTTATCTTCACGCGAGAACTTTCTGGTCTAAGCTGCAAATCTCTGCTGGTCTGACCAGCGGCTGCAGAATTCTGGATGGAGCATGTTTGCATCATCGTGCCCCGCTCCTCCCCGTCCAGGGAGTCTATAATCTGGATCTCTCCACCTCTCTCCTCCCCTAGACTGTAATTCAATTCAATTCATTCAAAAATACTTTATTAATCCCAGAGGGAAATTGATTGCTGTAGTAGCTCAGAATAATAATAATAATCAAGTCATCAAAGAGTTATTGTATATTACAATGGCTGTTGGCAGGAAGGATCTCCAGGAGCGGTCAGTGTTGCAGCGAAACTGAAGAAGCCTCTGACTGAAGACACTCTTCCGTTGTCGAACAGTCTTATGAAGAGAATGCTCAGGGTTGTCCATCATTTTCTTGATTCTCTGGAGAATCCTTCTTTGCATTATCTCCTCCAGTGGTTCCACAGTCGTCCCCAGAACAGAACCAGCCTTTTTTATTAGGCTGTTGAGCCTTTTCAGGTCCCTGCTTCTGATGCTACTACCCCAACAGACGATGGCTGAAGAGATTACACTCTCAACAACAGACTTGTAGAAGATGTGCAGCATCTTGCTACAGACATTGAAGGACCTAAGCGTCCTCAAGAAGTGCAGTCTGCTGTGTCCCTTCTTGTAAACGGCTTCGCTGTTCTTTCTTCAGTCCAGTCTGTTGTCCAGGTGAACTCCAGGGTATTTGTATTCCTCAACCACCTCCACTTCATCTCCCATGATGGAAACAGTGTTTGACTCCACCCTGTTTCTTCTGAAGTCTAAAATCATCTCCTTTGTTTTGTTCACGTTCAAGGTCAGATGATTGTTTCCAAACCATGCCACAAAGCGCTCCACCAGCTCTCTGTACTCAGCTTCCTGTCCATCTCTGATACACCCGACGACTGCAGAGTCATCTGAGTATTTCTGTAGATGACAGGTCTCTGATTTCTACTGGAAGTCTGAGGTGTACAGGTTGAAAAGGAATGGTGAGAGTGCAGTCCCCTGTGGTGCTCCAATGTTACTGATCGCCTGGTTTGATGTGCAGTTCTTCAGCCTCACAAACTGTGGTCTGTTTGTCAGGTAGTCTTTAATCTAGGCGATAGCTGAGACCCCCACCTGTGTCTTCTGGAGTTTCTGGCAAAGTACATCAGGCTGGATTGTGTTAAATACACTGGAGAAATGAAAGAACATGACCCTCACAGTGCTGCCTGCTTTGTCCAGATGACAGTGGGTTGGTTTAAGCAGCTGGATGATGGCATCTTCAACTCCAACTCCATGGCGATAAGCAAACTGCAGCGGGTCCTGATATGTTCTAGTTTGCTTATTCAGGTGGACCAACAGGAGTCTCTCCAGGACCTTCATGATGTGGGATGTCAGGGCAACCGGTCTGTAGTCATCATTGACTGATGGGCGAGTTTTCTTTGGAACTGGAACAAGGCAAGATGTCTTCCACAGGACTGGAACCTTCTCCTGGGCCAGGCTGAGGTTGAAGAGGTGCTGCAGAATCCCACAGAGCTGCAGTCTCTCCAGCAGAGTAAACACTCTCGATTGTTCTGGGTAGCTAGCAAGGAGTTTAATCTACACAGTTGTTCAAGTGGCAAGTGGCGTGTGTGTGTGTGTGTGTGTGTGTGTGTGTGTGTGTGTGTGTGTGTGTGTGTGTGTGTGTGTGTGTGTGTGTGTGTGTGTGTGTGTGTGTGTGTGTGTGTGCACCTCGACCCTCCAATGGAGAGTTCTCCTAGAGGGAGGGGTTTACTCTGCAAATACTTAGTGAGACATGACGACGTGAATCTGCTGTCTCCGGCTCTGCAGACGGTGAAATTCACACAGGTGGAAGTGGGGTTTCATCAAATCCAATTCATTTCCAGGTTATATTTCATAAAAAATGACATCTCAGCAATTTGTGTCTACCATTTCTCCGGAAGATGCATGATACATGTCCTTTAACAAATTTAGAAGGTTTAAGGTTTTCTTTGTTCTCCAAACATTTAATAAGAAACAAGGCTGCAGCCAGTGAAAGAAACATCTTATCTGACGCTCAAAAACATAAAAATAGGAATAAATTTTATTCCAGCTCACCTATTGCTTTCTGCATCTGCTCCTCTTCTTCTGAAGAAAGTTCAGGGTCTCTGTATAAATCAAAGTCTTCATCTGTCTTTTCAGCTGTGTCGGTTTCACTGAAGATATAAATAATGAAACATATATTTAATACAACACAGAAGCAAATTCAACCAACTAAGGTATACAGTTTCAATCACTGATTCATGTTTATGTATTTAGCAGACGCGTTTGTCCAAAGCAGGTTTGACTGCACTCACCACTGTGTTTTTGTCTCACTAGGCGAGCCGCTGCTCTGCTCATCTGATTTATCTACAAATCAAAAACCGGTTAATGTGAATGTTCCACTAGTGGTCCTTTCCTGATTCATCTGTAACATCTGTATGTGGCTGCAGACAGACACCACTCACAGCTGAGCTGCTGCAGGCGCTCAGCCCGAGCCTGAATCCTCTTTCGTCTCTGAACCAACAGCGCCTCCCTCTGGTCAGACAGCAGAGTGTGCATCTCCACTTCCAAAGAGTTGACTTCAACAATCTAAAAATAATCAGCAACCCAAATGAGGCTGGATCGAAACAAAATAGGAGTTTCTAAATAAATATAAAGTTACTGACATTAAGTGGAGCATATATTACACGTTAAAAAACTGCTTCTATGTACAGCAGGCACCTTCACCTGCAGTTAAAAAGGTAAATTAAATCTTGTTGTGCTTTGAATTTTTATTATCTGCTCTATATGCTTCTGCATTTATCAGTCTTTCAATATTTAATTTAATTGTCTTTATGTGACAAATAGGTAAACTGGAGATGAACTGAACCAGTTTATTAAAATCAGACCTTTTCCTGCAGACACTCGACGAGGTTGTGAACGTAAAGGGTCATGTTTCTGTAAAACTTGAGCTGACTCTCTGATGAACTTTCCTCCAGGATCTCCACAGAAGATTTAGCGTTCTCAGCGTCACCCGCCATCCTCCTCAGCTCGGCCTGCCTCGCTCGGTGCACCTCCTTCAAGGAGTCCAGTCTTTAGAGGAAAAGAGACATAAAAAAAATTGAGAAAAACTTACTTTATTTTTGGCTTGAACACTTTAGGAGCTAACTGGGCATTTGAATTAGAGAAATTTCAATAATTTGAAATTTATTTCTGACCAATTATTTAATAAATCTGATCGTTTCCTTAGTATAATGCTTACTAGGATCAATATTTTCTGTAGTTTTAATTATGTTTTCAATATCTTAATATTAAGAATTTAGATAGTGCTAATAAATTCTAACTTATTTAAGCCCAGTTTGGCAGAAATAAACTGGACTATTTTATTTGGTAATGGGCTTCCTTAAATGTACATCATAGATCAGTTTGTTTACCATTAGGTCATAATACAAGATATGATAAATGAACCGCACTTGTGTAGCCTTTCTGAGTCAGAGTGCTTTACACTACAGTGTATCATTCATCCATTAACACACACACTCACACCCTGGTGGTGATGAGCTACAGTGCGACCACAGCTGCCCTGGGGCACACCGACAGAGGCGAGGCTTTCCAAGCACAGGCGCCACCGGTCCCTCTGACCACCACCAGAAGGAAAGGTGGACTAAGTGTTTTGCCCAAGGACACAACAGCAGCATTCTCTGGTGGGAGCCATGATCAAACCTGCAACCCCACTCTACCTCCTGAGCTACTGTCTTAAATAAGTTATTTCTGCTGATCATTAAATGTTAAAATGTCTTGTTCCTGTTTCAGATCCAACATTTACTTCATTATGTTATATAGCTGTGGGAAAAGGGAAGGTCCTGTTCATGTGGAAGAAACTTACTTTCCAGTGATTCTTCTCTTAACCATCGACACGGAGACAGGAGCAAGAGTCTTTGGGATTTTGAGCCCCGCTGGTCTCTTCTTCTGTCTTCCTTGGTCTCGCCTGTTGATGATGATGCTGCTGCTGCTGGATTCACTGCCAGATGGGCTCTGAAGAGAACGGAGAAATGAGAGAATAAAAGACCAAAACTACATGAAAGAGATGAAGAACGACACAGACACAGTTAAGAAAAATCAACTATTATGCAGTTAAATGATGTCCAAACTTACTAAACACAATCAGAAAAACCAAGATCGAACGTTAAAATAAACAATCAGAAGAAGAAACAAACAGTAAAAATAAAAAATAATTTTAAATTGAGAAATAAATCATCATGCTTTCCTACTTGCTCCCCTGGTCGCCTCTTGAATCCTTTTTCTATTTGAGTCTGCTCCCAAAGATCCTGCTCTTCTTCATCAGTGCCTGAGAGACTTTCATCACTGCCTCCTTAATCACACAAAAATTAAGAATATATGAAGATATTTTCTACTGACATTTAAAGGAAAATATACGTTCTTATGTACATTCTGTGCATCAGCTTTCAAACCTAGTTGCTCAGCAATCCTTTCCCTGATGCTTTTCATTTGTGGAGCGAATTCAATTCGTTTCTCGTGGTCATCCGGATCATCGTCATCATTATCGATTTGATCTTCTTCATCATCTCTACTATAGTGACTCGGGGTGCTGCCAGTTGAGCTACGACCATCTCTATCCAGTGAAATGAACTCCTTCTGGGCTCGGGCAGCACGACGCTTCTTCCTGGCAGCATGGATTTCCTCAGCTTTGGGTATAACTACTATTTAAACAAAACCCAGAACAGCATACATTACAGCACAGGCATAAAATAAAGGAAACAACCACTACATGCTCAAAACTTAATTAAATATACACACAAGTTTGATTATTCCTGACCATATGCGTAAGCACATACTTGGTTTTGTAGCAGAACTGCTGGAGTCTGAGTCAGAGGATGGAGATTTGGCATCATCTTCATCACCACTATTGTTGTCATCGTGATGCAGAGACTGTGGTGAAGCCTCACTGCTATAATCATGCCTGGGAGAACTACCTGATGGGACACCAACTCCCGAGGCTGGAAAACAGTCCAAAAAGAACATAAGGAATCTGATGTGATCAACACATGCACAATGCCCACACACACATGCACACAGACAAACAAAACAGTTGACATAACTTTTAGGACTTTGTATCTTATACAAACAATTTCTTCTTCTTTGACTCTACACTTTCTGGGTTTAAAAAACGTTACCCAACAAGATTGGGCCGGAGATCAGTTTTAGAATCACCTGGATAAAGCAGGAGGAGGAAAAGGTGAAGAGTTTAATATTAAGTCCTACCTTTGTTGGTCCTGGCAGGGGGAGCCTCTTTCTTCCTCACATGAAACAACACAGCTTTATCAGACGACCTCTTCAGTTTAAAAGTGGATTCTTCAACTATGATGTCAAGAAAACACTAGTGGTTATCCTCTGAGCAGTGTGTGGTGTGTGTATTTATTCCCTGAGTTTGAAATCATGCAGTAAAAGTATGCAGATTTTGGGCCCTTGTTAGGACAGCTTGCAGATGAAGAAATAAATAATTCGTTGTAAACAAACTTTTAAAAAGTTATATAAGTAACTTTATTAATTTTACACAACTACCCATAAAGCATTGCGGTGGCAATCCTTTTCTGAAGACAGATTAATGTAAATTACCACAATGCCTTTTGCGTTTGATAACATCTATCAAAAGTATAATTTCATATTGACCAAATTACCTTCTTTGTCGTCAGAAAAACTAAGAACTAATGTTTTGGTTTTCTTTGGCTCATCTTGCTCCTCTCCTTCTGTTAATTCCTCCCGTTCTTCTCCGTCACTGCTATCCGAAGGTGGAGGCGTTGCTCGCTTGGAGCTAGCAGAGATGCCGCGGCCCTGCGCCGATTTAAGAGGTTTATTTACGGCTGAAGGGACCTTCTCGCTTTCCTCTCCTTCTCCATTGTTCTTTCGCTCCTCCTCGTTGTCACTGGAGCTCTCTTTCCTCTGCCGAAAGTTTCTCCGGGGCTTCTTGTTGAACATTCTCACGAGACAGCAGGCTCAAATCGTGGCTGTGGCAGCCAGTCACGGAAAGCTACGAGATTTCCAGCAGCTATTAGCTACATCCTTACACGGCGGCCATCTTACTTCGGACAGTAACCGTTCTCTAGCTGAGGGTGAGTGCACGGCTCAAATAAAAATACTTATAACTCGATGAAATATTAACAGGTTTACAAACGGTTTGCCTTATTACAAACCGTAAGAAAATCGGTTGAAGACTGAGAAAGTTAAGAGTTGTTTAAATAGTGCATGCACCACTAAAAACCAGTGTTAGAGGAGGGCAGCTGCCCGAAGTAGGATGTCCGCCGCGTACGTACAGGTGCTGGCCAGTAAATTAGAATATCATCAAAAGGTTGAAAATATTTCAGTAATTCCATTCAAAACGTGAAACTTGTACATTATATTCATGCAATGCACACAGACCAATGTATTTCCGATGTTTATTACGTTTAATTTTGATATTTATAGGTGACAACCAATGAAAACATCAAATCTGGTATCTCAGAAAATTAGAATATTCTAAAGGCCAATGAAAAAATGTTTGTTTCTCTAATGTTGGCCAACTGAAAAGAATGAACATGAAAAGAATGTGCATGTATAGCACTCAATACTTAGTCGGGGCTCCTTTTGCCTCAATAACTGCAGTAATGCGGCGTGGCATGGACTCGATCAGTCTGTGGCACTGCTCAGGTGTTATGAGAGCCCAGGTTGCTCTGATAGTCGTCTTCAGCTCCTCTGCATTGTTGGGTCTAGCGAATTGCATCCTCCGCTTCACAATACCCCATAGATTTTCTATGGGGTTAAGGTCAGGCGAGTTTGCTGGCCAATCAAGGACAGGGATACCATGGTCCTTGAACCAGGTGCTGGTGGTTTTGGCACTGTGTGCAGGTGCCAAGTCCTGTTGAAAGGTGAAGTCTGCATCCCCATAAAGTTGGTCAGCAGCAGGAAGCATGAAGTGCTCTAAAACTTCCTGGTAGACGGCTGCATTGACCCTGGACCTCAGGAAACAGAGTGGGCCAACACCAGCAGATGACATGGCACCCCACACCATCACTGACGGTGGAAACTTTACACTGGACCTCATGCAACGTGGATTCTGTGCTTCTCCGCTCTTCCTCCAGACTCTGGGTCCTTGATTTCCAAAGGAAATGCAGAACTTGCTTTCATCAGAAAACATAACTTTGGACCACTCAGCATCAGTCCAGTCCTTTTTGTCCTTGGCCCAGGCGAGACGCTTCTTGCGCTGTTTCTTGTTCAAGAGTGGCTTGACACACGGAATGCGACACCTGAATCCCATGTCTTTCATGAGTCTCCTCGTGGTGGTTCTTGAAGCGCTGACTCCAGCTGCAGTCCACTCTTTGTGGATCTCCCCCACATTTTTGAATGGGTTTGTCGTCACAATTCTCTGCAGGGTGCGGTTATCCCTAGAGCTTGTACACTTTTTTCTACCACATTTTTTCCGTCCCTTCGCCTGTCTGTTAATGTGCTTGGACACAGAGCTCTGCGAACAGCCAGCTTCTTTAGCAATCACCTTTTGTGTCTTGCCCTCCTTGTGCAAGGTGTCAATGATTGTCTTTTGGACAGCTGTTAAGTCAGAAGTCTTCCCCATGATTGTGGTGCCTTCAAAACAAGACTGAGGGACCTTTTAAAGGCCTTTGCAGGTGTTTTGAGTAAATCAGCTGATTAGAGTGGCAGCAGGTGTCTTCTATATTCAGCCTTTTCAGAATATTCTAATTTTTTGAGATACCAAATTTGGAGTTTTCATTAGTTGTCACTTATGAATATCAAATTTAAATGTAATGAACATTGGAAATACATTGGTCTGTGTGCATTGCATGAATATAATGTACAAGTTTCACGTTTTGAATGGAATTACTGAAATATTTTCAACCTTTTGATGATATTCTAATTTACTGGCCAGCACCTGTACATCAGGGTCCATTGACGAACAGTGCGGGTGAGGGATCTAGCTATTATATATAATAGCTAGATATAATATGATATCTATGGGCTTGTTCGAGTTGAGCAGCGCCTCGCCTGGAAAACAGACAAGAGCAGACGGACGCAGCAGGTACACTAAATTCTGCGACCCATGGCAATTTGTGACCCCAGGAGGGTAGTGTTGCGTTTTGTGCGTCTATACATCCTGAATTGGCATAAAAGAAGAAGATGCTACGTTAAAACCGTAAACTACATAAGCTTTGAGGAAGTTGTGCGGCGCGGACCATGGATATTAAAAAGAGCGTTTGTTAATGTTTATTGCAAACAAACGGGACAATAAACTGCAGCGATAAGCAGGGCTTTGACAATAAATGTTTGCTAACGTTAAACATTGATTTTACAACATGCGAGGTCCGCAGGTTAAATGTTCAGAACCTCAATTTATTGAAATAAATTGTTGTGATCCACATCCTCAGTTTAGTAGAAACCACTGCAGATTATCTGGTTGCTACGGTTTTTTTTTTTCTGTCACTCCAATACCACTCATATGTACTGGTGGAGATAAAAGGGAAATAAATTGACACAAACATCACAAAACGCCTTTTGTTGTTATTATCTTTAGTGAAAATTACATCTGCATTATTACTGAGATGCAGGTGGTCACATTCTGTGATAGCCACTATCTTTTTTATTTTTAACTTTATTTCAATCTTCGTTTTCATGTACATTCAGTTTACAATGAACCTACATTCAACGTACTGAAGAATAAGCAAACAAAAATGACCTCACTTGAGGAAAATAAAAATTACATTTAGAACTTGCAACAATTACCACATGACACTATCATAAAATAAATTATAATGCGAAATATTAATAAAATACAAATAAAATATCATCAACAAAAATAAAATAAAATGTTCAGAGGTTGATATTTCAGCATTGTATTTCAAACATGTTTGATTCATTGGACTGTAATTTAAAGAACAAGAAACTCAGACATTGTTTCATACAACTCAGTTATAGATTGGTTGTTTTCTGATAATACTTTTAGAGATGTTATAAATTGTTTTATTTCATTTTTAAAATGGTTAATGTTAGGCTTGCTGTTTTTCCATTTAGTTTTATGTATATGGTATTTTCCCATGATGAAAATAATGTTCACCATTTTGGCTATCTTTTTTGGCAGAGCATCCATGTATGTCAATACTTTAGATTTGTTAAGCCATACATAATTTCTTTCTATATTTAATAATCGATAAGCATCCTCCCAAAAACCAATTGTTACTGAACACGAGAAGAAAAGGTGCTCAATAGTTTGTCATACAAAAGACACACTGATTCACTTCAAAATTAAATCTTTTTCTTAATGTTTCGGCAGCAGGATAGATATTATGTATTATTTTGAATTGAATTTCTTTCAACTTGGGTGCAATTGGCCATTTAAGATAGCTGCAATATGGCTTTGTTAATTTAGTTTCCTTTCCTGTGATTTTTATTTTTGTTGATTTGTCAATATCATAGAATAACTTTTTTTTAACATACTTCCAAGTACTTTGTTATTACATTTTTGTTCACCTAATTTAAATTTGCCAATTTTCAACTCAGGAAGTTAAATCACCACATTTGAATTAAGCAAGGCATTTTTAATCATGAATTTTAAGGGAAGTGGAATAGCTCTACTGATTTGATTAAACTCTCTAACAGAGCATTTAAAATGAACTTTTTCGACAAAACATTCAAATTGTAACAAATTGCCATTTTTATCCATCAAATCTGTCATATATAAAAACTTTTTGTCATACCATTCTTTTTTGAATGTAGTCTTCCTATTAATTACAATGGCTCTATTATTCCACAAGGTGGAGCTATGCGGTGTAAAGTTGTGGCTGAAAATCGTTTTCCAGTACAGCAGTATTTGTTTATGGAAGTCAGATAGTTTGATTGGTAATTCAGATATTTCAAAGTCACATTTTAACAGGAATTCTAATCCTCAAACCTTTTGGAAAATATATTTTGGTATGTGGAACCATATAGAATGTGGTTGTATTAAAAAAGCTTTTATCCAGTTTAACTTAAGTACACCAATCATGGCTTCATAAAGAGACTGACAAGGATAGATTAATTTTGATGAGCCCTCTGCTTTTGTTAATAAGATTCTGCCAATGATTAAAAAGATCTCTCATGAGCCAGTGGTTGAGAGATCTTGTCATACCATCTATTTGTTTCTTTATGTTTAGTTCTTCATTCTTATTTCTGTCTTTGGACAATATTAAACCTAGGTATTGTACTTAAGTTTTGACAGGAATGGAGCCTATTTGCCATCAATTATGTTGCCTGAAAATCTATTGAATAAAATCATGACTCCTGCTGGGTGTGTTGTTCCATGTGCAAAGAAGGCGTAATCTCCCCATTGTGTTTTCCAAAATTTTTCAACTGTCGCAACAGAATGAGTCTCTTGTAAAAAAAAAAAAAAAAAAACATTGTGATTTTTGATCCTTACAAAATAAAAAAATTGCTTTTCGCTTTGTACTGTTGTTCAAACCCCTGACATTTAAGGATATTAAAGAAATTATGGTTGTTCTAAATGCGCTTAACTGTGTTTTTTCTTCTTTGCAGGAATGAACATGTCCTTAATAATATCATTACAAAAATGTCAAATAAACGTAAGAACCGCAGCAAACAACTGAACTGAACTTGGATTCTTATTTTCCCCTTTTAGCATTTGAATCACATACATTTTCACCAATAGGATTTGTTTAAGCCTAACTGCTTTAAAGAAAAATCTGAGTATCTTTACATACACTTAAATATATAATATTGTGTTATTCACTTTTGCTCAGTATAAGCAAAGGAGACCTATGTTTTTGATTACTAAACTATACTTAGGGGTCAACTCTGCGTCCATCAATGAGTGCATAACCTTCTCTTAAGGAGGCTTTCTTCCCATTTCTTCTGGCTTCTTGCACCTTGGGCCAAAGCTTAGCACGAGCCTCACGATCCTCCTTTGAGAAGTCCTCCTTAAACTTGATGTTCATCTCACTGCACACTCTTGCCTCTCTGGATCTCCTCCAAACTTCATCACGAACAGTTCGCAAGGCAAACTGGATGATTATAGGTCTGGGCATCTTGTTGGTAGCGGCATCGTTTTTCTTCCCTAAGCGATGGACTGTGTCTACTGAGTCCTGTAGTTTTTCCACTGACACCGGGATTACTCTAGTGAGGATGCCAATCACAGTTCCTCTTGTATCCTCTTTGTCTTTTTCAGGGAGGCCCATCAGTCGAAGATCCCATCTTCTCTTGTACCGGGCTTGCTCCAAGCACAGCTGCTTCAGTGACGCATTTTCTTTTTTCATCAGCA